ACATCTGAGCTGAGGACGTACGATACTTTCCCAACATAGTGACGGAGCCAAAGAACGCGCCACAATCCATATAATGTGAACCGTGCATCGCCAATGAGTCGAAATGCTTCGGATTCAACATCAACCTAAGCATGGTCTCGCATCGATACCCAAATCTCAACAATTCCACCCACATCAGAGAAAAATCCCCAAGTGGCATTGAGGAAACCAATAATGGTCTTGTTCTCAGCACTATCATCATCAACACCTGAAAAAGAACCACCACGAAATTTCATTCGTTTCACAGACAGTGGATAAATAGAGCCTACTGATCATAGCCGCATCTACTGATGTCGTCTTCCCCCTTAATATGAGACGCATAGCAGCATTGAAGTCACCAACAAAGCCAGCAATATCCCCAAAAAAGTCTTTTTCCGAGGAGTACACAGCGCTAGTGCTCAAACCATTACCACTGCCGCCAGGGAGCATGCCGAACCTCAAGTGTTTAATGAGGTATTGCCCGTCAGGCAGGTGATATATGCCCTGAACAAGTTGAACATCCTAGCTACAATTTCGTGGCGCGTGACGCTACTTGCAGTAATTCATGCATGACCCCATCGCCACCACACGTAATAAAGGCATCATATTTATCAGCATTGTCCATTCCCAGATGCCGAACATGTTGAGTACTCACAGTCTTCACAGTTTCAACCGCGAATCGATCACCAGCCAACTTGAACAGTGGTGCAGCATACTTATAATACCTCACAGCAACAGCAGCAATAACAAAAACTAGCAGACCTTCCCGAGAATGAAGTTCCCTACAGATTCTCAGCCTTGCCCTTGCCACTAGCCGGATTGATGAGCAGTAGGACCCTGGTTCGAGTCGGGCACTCCGCACTATTCACCATTTCATCCAAGTCCCCAAGGGCATAATGAAGTAGCGCCGTAGCAGTCAAGTCAACTACACACGAGTCAGATCACCGTACCATCCATCGGAGAACCTCACGTGTATTCGAAGACTGCTGCCTCTTTAAATATACATCTCTTCGCCGTCTCCCTGCCTTAGAAAAACAGCCCTTAGGTTTAGCTTCCAACAACGTGATCTGACGTGAGTAAACTACTGCCCATGAAAACACGACCCAACTGTAATAATACTTGCATCGTCAGGTCCCCATGGTTCACCGCTACGATGTCTTCAAAGACGACAACGTCTATTGGAGTGTTCGAACCCTCAGGGACTATACTCAACTAGAAATGAATAATTATTATAGCTAGTGTTTCCACCCTACCTTGTCACTGTGAACTGTCACTTTGAACCTGTTTTTCGGTTGATCTCCTTTAACAGATGGATTCGACCGGTAAAAGAATAGTGCATCGTGGAAGAAGTCATGAATTAGATCCATATTCGAAATTATAACTACTCCTTAGGCACCACCGACAACTACAGAGAAAACTAACTCGTCAGAGAATAATGAATAAACTGAAATTAACAGAGTTAGTGACGTAAGCGATGACATTGGAGAGTGACGAGATCTTACAAGTGTACAAAATCGTGAAGTTGGAAACTACTAGATGAAATCAAGTAGACTGAAGATAAGAAGTAGCTTACGCCAGTCGCCACACCCAGTGCAGGCCACATATATTACACGGAAAGCGGCGTTGGCAGATGATACATTTTAATGACCATCACTCTGCACAACACTTCCTTGTGAGGCATATACGTTCATTAGTCGTGGCAATACATAACCACAAAGGATACCTGGATAGAAGCAATATGATATATGTCGATCTCTTTAATTGCGGAACGAGCGAAGGGAGCAACAACAGGCACTTTCGCGTTGTGCGTGCGTGCAGAATCATTCTGCTTAGCTACGCAGCGTAGGAGACTATCAGATAGATCAAACGACTTCTCTATATGCCAAGGTGTAGGCAAAACTCGATTATACGAACAGATCGAAGAGATATGCACGGAAACCTTTAATGACGGAAAAACGTCCTACCGGGGGATCGAACTGGGGACCTAGGTGAGATTCATTGATCTAATCAATAGACGTGGACTGAATGAGCTCCGTCCCTTCGTCACGGAGGCCTAGTACATATAAAGACTACCTCGAGGAACTGCCTCGCCGTCTACTGTCGCTCCCTCGCCCGTTATCTCACTCTGCTTATTCGCTGGCTCGATCTTCCATGCAACTACCGACTTCTCCTTCCAAAGATGGGACATCTCAGTCTAAATCGAAACCGTGATGATGATGATGATGATGATGATGATGATGATGATGATCATGATGATCATGTACTATTTTTCTCATGGGAAATACAGTCAAATTTCATGTCACAATTCGAACTCAAGTACACGATCCCTCGCAGGCAAATCCCGCACACGTTCTATCCCCGACAACGGCAACAATTATACTCACATGCGTGCCCATTTCCATCTTTGTCAAACCCTTGACGAGAGTCCCGAAAGAGGAGCTCTTATAAGGCAACCAACACATCGTCCAAGACCCATCACCCAGTTTCCTTCCCGGAGCAATCATCATTCCAGGGCCCATATGTGACAAGTTAGATAGCGTAACTCCGGCAAATTCTCCCTCCTCCGCATATTGCCACAGTGGACTGCTCTCATCAGGGAGACTCTCAAGAAGCTGTTGGCCGTGAGGCAAGTCACAAGCCTCAATGTAGGACACACGAGCTGCATATTTACGTAGACTAATTATCCTCCATAAAGCGTAGACATGGAATCGAGTGTCTCCTAAGAATCTCAGATGCTCGGATCCAAGATCAACCTGACCAATAGTAGACCTCAATAGTAAATCGTACCAACTCAGATTTTACATTTCACTTCAATTAGAACCATTTTTCCGTGAGAATTCATGATCCTAGATTCCACCCAAAAACCCGAAACCCGTTTTTTCCAATCTCCCAGAGACGTCGAACATCACAGCATGGTTTACATAGGCTAATCGTGAATTATGATTGGCAGTTATTACGTCAGAAAAGAGCCCAAACGCAGCGTTAAGACTGGCCAGCAGGGTAACTTTACATTCACGGGTCTCCCTATCCAACACATCTGAGGCAACGTATGCTTATACTAGAATATTAAACAAGTCTACTACCGAATACAGCGGCATCTAGTGGCGAAGTTTTTCCTCTCAAAATGAGTCTAAGGGCAACCTGGAAGTCCCCAACGATCGCTTTAGGGTCCACAGCCATATTGTCGCAGTCTTCAGTCGCGTACGCACAGCTACACGCCAGTCCGTTTCCACTGCCCCCTGGTAGGAATCCCAGCGTGACACGGTGTAAAATATCGCGATAATGGGGTAGCTTGAAAATTGCCTAAAATCAAACAGGAAACCGTTCAACAGCGCGAGATCTCTAAAGCGACTTCTCATGGGAAACTTACCTGTAAAAAGTCATGAACAAGCCCGTCTCCTCCACAAAATATAAATGCATCGAAATTCCCAGCGGACTCTACTGCCACTTCCCTCGTATGTTCAGCGCTCTCCGAGACTACCTCTTGGACGATAAAACGATCTTGACAGAGGTCGAGCAGGGGCTTGGCTTTATTAGTATACCTAGTGTAAGCATATTAGATACCATAAATCGTTGAAAAGGGCTTGTAACTAACATAGTACTAGTCTAGACGCTACGATAAACCAGCTGAATTCTCTTACAAATCCAACGCGTCGCCTTTCCCGCTTGCTGGGTTGATAATAACCAAGGCTCGAGTCTTCGTTGGGCACTCTGACGTCGTGTCAATCATAACACTGAGGTCTCCCAAACAGAGATGAAGTAGAGCTGCTGCTACTACGTCGACTGAGGAGACTACGATGGCAATGCTCCCACTGGCAATCGAGTATTATTACGAGTCTCCTCCCATCTGTCGAAACGTTCAAGCACAATATCCCTACGCTGGCGGCCAGCTGAGCATGTACAGCCCTTCTGACGGATCTCCAGTACTGTTATCTACCATAGGCACCGAATGGTATGGTCCCTACTCCCAGCACTCGTGGAGAGAGCTCACTTCAAGGCTTGAGTCGCCATAATTGACAGCAACAACATCCTCGAATAGTAAAGCATCGTAGACCCGACCAGAGGTAACCGCACGTACGACGATCTGAACAGTCGAGTAAGAATTTTCCTCTACCGATTTTGGAGACAGTTGTTCCACGTTGTTTTCGCACGGAGTCCACAAAGATCAGGAAAAGAAATGCATAGTGATATTCCTCATGAAGACTCGCGATAATGACAAAGGAATCTTCTGAGTCTCGGCCGGTGGAATCCCTTTGCCAGCACTACCGACTCATCCTCCAGCACCACTAAGGCATCCTCCAGCTCAGCTCCCTGCTTTCCTCGAGGTTTGGATCTGTAACCGAAGTGGGATTTGAAAAAGTCAGCTAAGAGATCCATAGAAAGTGAACTAACCAACAATAATATGTTTTCCATGTACAGGTTACTAAGAATGTCCCAGCAGTTGCGAGTCGTCGAATTTAGTTTCTCGGTCAAGCAAGAGAGAAATGATTATGTACGAGGTCGGTAAACAAATCCATCTGGGGAGTTGGTTGAACCGAAGCATTCCTTGGGGTAGCTACCGGAGATATTGATCCTAGTAGTATCAATATCTGTGCCATACGGGACTAATATATAGTCCCATGGGAATATACACTACATAATCAGCATGTCGAAGCAGGAGGAAGTGAGGGTAGCACACAGTGTATAGTCTCGGGGGAAGATGGGAGTATACATCTGTACTAGTATATAGTAGTATCATACTACCCCGGAAAGGTATAGTACGGCTCCAACCACATTGGTCAAGATGAGAGATAGCTAGGGTATGATTATGACGAGGAGACGGAGCTGTTAGGATTCCACAGTTGTGCGCTGAAAGTCTGTGATACGAGAGGTCGTGGGTTCGATCCCCGGGGGAGGGCCTTTTATCAGGGTATGATGAATTATCATACTACCATCATCATTGATGATGGTAGTATCGCCAAAAGCTTACTGCGCACGAACACTCGTGTGCGTGCGTCAGTCCGTGCGTGAGTAAAAATTCCGACCCGACCAGGGCGATTCAGAAGACCAACAGGGAATCATTCTGTCCCCCGTTGACTGCTCACCGGCGAAAAATATAGCGAAAGTGGCGCTGTTGCTTCGCCCGCTTATTTTTGACGAAACGGTTCTTCGCGCAAGAGATGAACGTGGGATTCATCATACTACCAACGTCGGATTTGACCCAGCGTCGAATCCCACGATGATCATTTTTCTCACATGTCTCGATATGGAGACAGTGGCCACGTCGATGACGCCAGCCAACCCCCACAACTTTTTGTTTTTTAGTCACCCAATTTCCAAAATAATTTCAATAACAGCCCGCTGAGTTCTTGATAAGAAGCTCAGCGAGCTCCGCCCCTTCGCACCGAAGACCTAGTGAGTAGTAGCACGTCACTCCGGTTCTGCCTCAGCCACCCTATTCGACCTAATGCGCATGTGTGCTCCTGCAGCAGCCAATGTATCGATTACGACTATGTGGCGCGGGTCGTATTTTTCAGTTTTTCAACCCATCCTTCCTACAACTCGTAAAAAGACTGACATTGTCTGCACTGTTACTTTGATGCGCCCTTCAGGCGAAAAGCTATGCAAGCTCGCAAATGTTACAGCAGTCGTGGAGTATATGTTCGCCTCTCTCAGCTGAGCTCGGAAGTGTCGTCACTACTCATAGAGGTTCACATACGAATTCGGATAGAAGTGCACAGAAATCAACAAGAAACTTTCCTCGGAATTTTAATATTTTCACCATCATTTGTGGTTTACCATGTGTATGTTTTCCCTCAGTGTGTCACACTCGCAGTTCAGCAAGAATGGCTCAAGGCTTGAACGTCAGCTTCCTCTCATGCCTAGATGTATATGTTTAAAACTTAGTTTTTCGGATTCGGAATGTCTAATCTTTCCGCTCCAATCCCCACTGAAGCCAACATACCCATACCTCCTAAGCCCGTCGGAGTGTGTCTTGTCGGTCTCGGCAGGGCTGGCAAGTTCCATATCGAAGTACTCCTCCTGACTGCAGAATCAACATTAGTATTGCTGAGGTTAGGCCCTAGGTAGACTCGGCCCACGGGTCGTTAAAATCCTCTATGTTGTTGATGTTAAAGAGGAACTCGTTGAGAAGCGAGCCAAGGAACTAGGCTGTATTGGTCTTACCGATATGAAGGAAGCTATGGCAGACCCCGAGGCGATACCCTACCATTCATAGAGCAATTCATTCAATCTCCGTACAGGTCCAAGCTGTTATCGTGGGCTCTAGCACGTACATGCATCATGAGCATATCATGACTGCATTGAAGGCCGGAAAGGCCTGTCTCACAGAGAAGCCCATCGCTGACAACCAGAAGGAACTCCAGGAGCTCATTGATTACGTTAAAACCGTAGAAGTGCCCTTTCGTGTTGGGTATCAGCGTAGAACTGATCCCAATTTCCGTGTACTAAAGCAACAGATAGAAATGGGTAGAGTTGGGGAGCCTCGCATTATCAATTGTACTTCTCGCGACAATCCGGAACCTCCTATGGAGTACTTGGAGGTCTCTGGAGGTAACACTTGCAGTCCGACAACTTTGGAATCCTATTCCTGTGTCTAGGTATATTCCACGATATGCTCACTCATGACTTCGACATGATACATTTCCTCACCGGTCAAATACCAGAGTCTGTGTATTCCATTGGGCATGCCTACAACCCCAAGATCAAGGCTATGGATGATGTAGATACGGCTATGGTAGTAACATACCATTAGAGGTAGACGAGACTACTAGACCCTAGGTGACGTTGAAATATCCCAACGGTCTGCTTGCCACTGTTAACACAAGTCGCATTGCTCCATACGGCTATGACCAACGCGTTGAGGTCTTTGGGCCCAAGGGCATGGTGACCGCTGAAAATCAGGTAATATTCAAGTAAACTATGTGTGTGTTTCCATGGAGGTGTTTTAGCGGGAGTCTACTGTTACAGTAGCGACCGATCTAGGTTACCAGAGTGCTAGAGCTGACTACAGTTTCCCTGAGAGGTAATGCTCACGTTCAAATCTCAGCGTTTTACGGTATGCAATCAGATACCCTGCGGCCTATCTCGAGAGTGATGCTCAGTTCATCAAAATGGTCATTGAAAAGACGAAGGAAGATCCAGCTGAGAACGATCGATTCGTTCTCCTCGACAAGGTAGGCACCACTGTTCTCGCTTTTAGTGTATATGGTCAGTTGACTTAGGTTGCTCGTGCTGCCGAGAAGTCCCTTCACGAGAACCGCGTTGTTCTCCTAACTGAGTTCGGAAACTAATATGGTTCACATAGTTACTCATATACTTCCTCATATAGTTCTTTCAATGGCTCTCTCGCCCTGTGCTTGGGTCATGTTTTATGGTCCGTTACCTCCAATAGAGGTTATTCTTGCATACTAATGATGATAGGTTTGGATTCATAAACAGTGATGGGTGTGTCCTCCCATTATAGCAGTAACTGCTAAGCAGTTCACCCTATCGACTCATATTGGAAGACCGCTACTTCGCCGTCGACCTCATCATTGTCGTTTACCACCCATCATCGTCTGTATCCGAGAATTGCCCCACGAATCCCAGTGGCGTTACCTCCGTCGAAACGACCGAACATTCGGTGAGAATGGAAATCAGTAGTGGCTTTGGTGGCCCAATACTCAAACTTACAGAGGGCGTCCAGAAGATCGCCCGATCGGTGCGCAGTGATAGCTCTCATTGGAATGGCCAAGCGGCTAAGGACTTGGCCTCAATTTTGAAATGGGACTCGGATTCTATCCGAGACTTCGATTACGAGGCAGGGCCTCTCATGAGAGTAGCATCGGCGACGCTGGTCTCCAGTGGCTGTGAGACAGGAAGGACTGACGACGATTCTGATCTCATCAAACGTCTCGCTTTAGACAGGGTTATATGCGAGGCTTTCCCGTGTCATGTCCGGCTTCTGAGGTTGTCCATCATCACTGCCTGTAATTCAGCTACAGCAGAGCGGTGCTCCAGCACGGCCAAGCGGCTGACGGGGCCCGCTAGGCAGCGAACGAGTTCACGACACCTCACTGCCTTGGCAATGATAAGACACGAGGGTCCATCACTGGATTGCGTGGACGATGTGACCGCATTGGTTAAAGATGTGGCGAAGACCTTTTTGTCCAAGCCGAATAGAAGAGTCGCTGCATAAGCTGCTTAACGATTGGCTGCTAATAATTACTATGGATCTGCATGAAATCTCCCGTTCGAGCTAGCGTGACTTGTGTTGCATAAATTGTGGTGGGATAGTAATGAAGTGTAACTGAATCGTTGTATCAGGGGTGCAGCACCCCGGGTGCTACCCGTGGACTCCAGCCTGGGGTCTCTGAGGCCTGGAGTAGCTTTCTCATGGTATGCGGATCATTTGAATCATTGATAGATATACTAGCTCCCCTCAGGGGAGTCCTCGAACCCCCCGTCAACCCCTCCTTAATCCCATGCCGGGAGTTACTTCATCTCGGACGGGTGCTCGAATTTTCGGTTGGGGAATCCCCTTATCCGGTAGGGGATTTCGACTCTGTATGTATCATTGGACACAGCCTTATAAGCTCACGATTGTCTCCTCTCGAGAAACTCGCCTCTGTATCATGATGATCTGCAGGATCGCTTGAGTGAGGATGTTCCTCGGCGCATCGAGTGGTGGAACATCGCGAATCCGAGCGACCCTCCTATTAACGGTGTTAGTGTCTGCCAGGCGAGATATGCATATGGAGATGTCGTTGAAGCTCTTGAGACGCCAATGGCGTCACGCCATAGAGCAATGGTCAACACAATAACTGTCACAAGCACTATTCGAATATTATAAGATAATCCACTTGTTTACTATCCCCGTCCTAACCCACTTGAAACTCAAAACCCAGAAAGTAGACCCTCATATCTCAGATGTAGCTATACGTTAGTCAATATCATCATCATCATCATTGTCTTCACCGCCGTCATAAATTCAAAGCGATCATCAGCTTCATTGATCGCAAAAATTGAACTAGCAGTCACACCAGTACTATCATTATCATTGGGCGGAAAACAACTCGGAGGAAAAATGTGTTACTGTACGAACTTGTCCTCGCGTACAAGTAGCTTACGCCCTTGAAAATCGTACTCGTTAAACTTCTCTGAAAGGATAAGCCATAAAATAATGCCGACAGTATCCTATGGTAGTACTCACCGATAGCCTTGGCAGTGCCCTCCTCATCTTCGAAGAGAACAGTAGCGAAACCCTTGGAACGGCCGTCCCAGCCCTCGGCGATATCGACACGAATAACTTCACCGCATTCACGGAAAAGATCTTTCAGGTCTTGCCAGGCGGTCCTCCAAGGTAACTGAAGTAACTACTGATAGCAGTATGGTAGTAGCCAGCTTTACATTGCCAACATAGACGAGTCTGCCTTTGTCACGAGGGCCCACACGTAGTGGTCTGAGACCGCCCTTGCCCTTGTAACCCTTGAAGCCCTTGCCCTTGCCAGCTGAGTAGGAGGAGGGGGAGCATATCAATGATGTCGGGCTACCTATGACTTACGGAATCCCCAATCCGAATAACCCTTCCCTTTACCCTTCCCTTTGCCCTTGCCCTTGCCCTTGCCACTACGGGGAGAGCCTATAACACACAACCCTCGATGATCGAAAACAGTTGCCGATCTGACTACCATTCTCAGATCTGGGCTTGGCAGGGCCACGGTCTTCTCTGACGAAGATTTTCCTCTCACCCAATTGCGTCTCATTGAGTGTGTCAATAGCCTTATCCACAGAGCTCGCCTCCTTGAACTCGACGATTCTAAGAGGCGTCAATCAATGACGAAGAGTACAAGCCTTTGACTTACCCGCAGCCTTTAGATTTCCCATCGTGTCTAGTCATAATTTCGACCGACACGACAGGCCCGACCGCCTTCATGTGATCACCGAGTTCATCCTCGGTAATCTGAGGTGACGATGCTCCTCATAGATGTGGTGTAATACCAACTTACCGTCCAATCGAGATTGCCAACATAAACACACTTTTCCTGCGATGCCATACTGCTTCCTTTAAGTACTTCTATCAATAACTATGTATCCGCTGTGTCGGAAGTAGCACTAGAGCGCCGCTCGCCACGTTAGGAAAATAATATGCCTAATAAGGTAACCAATCCAAACAGGTAATTATGAGGAACAACAACTCCTGACGATCGCACATGAACTGCGTCGAGCAAAATAAGGAGATTCAAGTCTGTGCAAGTTGGCAAGATTTGCTCTTCTTGCATCGACACTCCGAAAAGAAGGGCTATAACCTCTTATGAATTGCTCCTTAAGGCGTACCACAAAAGTAGGAATTCCTAACGCTCCTTACTCAGCTATATGGCCGGTATAAGCTTGTCCCGACGTGTATCGTAGTTCGGTTCGGTGATTGGGCTTTGGGTTGCCCTCCTCCTACGAGTCCATTCGTGTTTGAGTCTATGCCCTTGCGTTGTCTTTTGTTATTCTTCCTCGGATTTTGTCCTACACTGATCATCATCATCATCGCCGTGTGGTCATAGCACTCATAGAAGATGACCTCGCTCTTGGAAGACCCAGCAGATGAGTGAGTGGGCGTTGCCCCCTGAGTGAAATCAGACTTGGGAAAACCAACAAAATCAATGATAATCAGAAAGCCGAGTGTCTGTGTGGCGACAGTATAGACCACATAGTGCTCTTCAATGACTAACAATGCATCGCTTCATGCCAGAGACTATAATGAGATGTTGCTGTCAGTATTGAAGAGGCCGATGAGGACGTAGACCCTCCAGTGGAATTAGATCCTCTTGCAGAACTAGATGCGGCATTAACTCGCTATATCTCCCGATATGGATATTACAGACTCAACCGTCGTGACAGTAGGCATACATCATACCATCACACCGACAACTCAACGATCTCAGGCGATGAGATTGGCCCTGAACGCCAAAGGTCAGCCATCGCTATACTAGCCAGTCTAAAGTCCAGAGATCACTTATCAGTAAAAGGCACTCCTATCGCAGAGGCATGCTCCTATCGTCACGTAGGTCCTGCCGTTTTCGACGCAACCGTCTAGGAGACTCCAGGGTCGAGGTAAGGCATGATGTCGTGAATTTATGGTATGATAAACGCCACTGTTCGATCAGGGGCATTCAGTCAGAACGATAGGGAACCAGGGCAACTCACAGATGTGGGGACTACTTATTATTACGTTGGAAACCCGTCTTAACAACTACTGCTGTTTAGGCGGAATATGAGTCGTTCATGGGCGACTTGGTAGAGGAGACTTCAGAGATAGTCGCGCGCACTCGAGCCACGCTAACCGAGAAAGCCCGTCGTCATAGTACGCCAACCACCGTGAGGAAACGACCGTAGCATTGAACCTCAGGAAAATCTAGGAGTCAGAAGCTTGAACATAATGGGAGCTCCGAAGAGTAGGACGATTATCCCGATGGTCGAGACCCTAACAACCGTGCTTAGTTCGGAATCTGGTAGCACCTCGTGGGACGGCTCCTCAGCTAGAGGAGACGAGGAAGAAATAAACATAACCTTGCAGTGTCACAGCGATAGGGAACATATCGGGGACGATGGTGACTGCGGTATGAGGCTCGATTGGAAAAGGGTGAGTTATGCGACCTAATCTGCCTGCAGGGCAATCCATTTGTCTTGCTGTACATTCTGCTTCGGTCATTGCTCAGTATCTTCCGAAGGTGGAATCAGTTGTCGAGGGCGGAATCGCCTTTGGGTGTGGAATTCGAGGCCGCGACGAGATTATACGCATAAACGCGATTGACGTTAGACTAGTTGGCGAAGCGCGCTTCCGTGATATGTTGAAGTAACCTCTCATTTCCTGCGGGGGGCAGTATCGTGTAGCACTCCGATGGCTGTTAGATTCCTTCCGGTCACGCTCACTATACGGAGGCTCAAGTGCGTCAGTGTCTCTGATCCCCACCCCAATGGTGATCCCCAGGACCGGGGCTCCACAGGTTAGAATCCATTCCCAGTTCCCTCAGCTGAGCTCAGGAGTGTCCTCACCAACTCAGTCTAGTGCCCAAATACCAACGGGGATTTCGCAAAATTTCCTCGGAATTCCCCCGTTGTCATCAGCAAGTGCCGTCGACTGTGCGCATATTTTCCCGCACCGACCCAGGAAGTGTCTTCCTTCTCATAGACAGCATTTCGAATGTATCAACTCATCCTCGAACTGTGGTATACCACATCGCATCGCTACCTTGCCTCGGTTGGAATATTTGTGTCAAGCCTTCTGTAAAAGGGGACCTCTCGTGTCCGTCTTCCATCAGGAGCCTATTCGCCTGATTTCGAGAAGTTATTGGAGGAGTTACGCAGCGTCTTACCACCTCCCAGTATTGACGCGTTCAAAGATCGGATTTCAGTGATACATGACCATTTAAACGCCCTACATAATGAAGCAAGTCGCGGACATGACTTTTCAGTGTACTCGTCACGAACGTCCTCTGCAGTTAGCGGGAGTAACCGAGTCCATGCATGACCTATATCGAGACCTCCGAGAGGAAGTTCTAGTGGAAATTCGGCGCCTGCAAGATGATGCCAAAAACGTGATCGTGGGAGATCCTTCCACGAACAAGCCAGGTTAGCTGGTGTCTATCACCGCCGTGTTCCACGCCCTATTTCAGGGGAAGAGTCACCACCATTGGACAAGGCGAGCACACACACCGTTCGAGTCCAAAAGGGTAAGATCACGATAAACAAGAAGGATCTTGACGAGGTGAAGACATCGCGGATTTTGGCGGAATAGTTTCCCTCTTCACTAGGCGTTGCGGCGTGATTCTACTGCGAACGATTCCCATGATGAGAATGATTTCTACTATATAGCATCATGTTCTTATGAACCACCTCTGATTACTGATGTCTAATATGACACTTTTACTATGTCCCTTCTTTGCGTTATAGTGAATACAACTGCGACTAGAACATCCCCGAGCGTAGCAGTGACATGCTTACCACGACCATCGATCATTGGAATTGAGACCTCAGTTCAATTGAATGATTTAACCCAACAAACCGAGACAAGGCGAGCATCGCTCGGCTGCCTTTGGTAGTCTGTATATCCACACTACCAGAAGAGGTTTTAAAGTACTCAGGAGTTCATACCACTCAAGTGTGGCACATTCTTGTCAAGGAAAGGCGTATACGAACGTGATTAACTCAGCACCGAAGTCAAGACGGTGAACTAGCACTTGGTTATCATGGGTGAATCACTATTGGCGTTGCTGCATTATGCGGCAAGGATTTCCTCCTGCAATCACACGAGGAGGGACGTCCTGAACTCAAAAACGTGACATCTCCTCACAACCACCGTTCCTCTACTCGAGTAACAACACTGCCAGGTTGTATGATACAGTCGTCGCCTATGGTCAGGCCAGACATGACAATTGTACTTGTCCCAATGCTGACGTTATTTCCTATTCTTATGGGACTGCCGGACAGGGCCCACGTCCCTCGAGCGGAGGCCGAGCGCCTATGCTGAGTGGTAGGACCAGCAACACGTGAGCGACTTACGGATGGTCAACAGCGTAGAGGTGAACGTCGTGACCAAAATGAACCTTGAGAAACAAGAGTGTTAGCACGAATGCCCGACAGTCGCGACTGACATCATTCCCTATCTCCACTGTAGACGCATCTAAGATGACCAACTTCGGTCCAGCTGAGAAGGAATCGCCAATGCTGATATTGAATCCGAAATCACAGCGAAATGGCGGCTCAATGTCCACCTTATCACCGCAAGCTCGTAGCAGTTCTACGTGGAAGAATCAACTAAATGATCACATCTGTTGCCTCTAGACCGACCTCGTAATATGCCCTTCCTAGTGTTGCCGACCTCTGAGGGTTGCATGTTATCGCTGGTTGCGTTGTATCGTTCGCATAGACCTTTAGCTCGCGAATACCACTTTCTGAATACATCAACCTCTAGCTTGAATAAACTACCGCTTCTCATTAACGCCATGTATTCCTCCTCCGATGCATTCATTGAAAGGATCCAATGTGGACTTCAGCGATTTACTGCGAACTCAACATAACATCGCTGACACGAAAATGATAGAAAATGCTGTCGAGTCAAGCCACCTAGTTGATGCCATTGTCCAGAAGGAACTTCTTCTCTTGTTCTGTTGGCTCTAGGGGGGCCGCTTTGATCACTTTACATGGATTCCCAGCTGCGATCATGCCAGGGGGAATATCCTGATAATGGCCGATAGAGAGTAGAGGCGTGCTGACTTACCTTGGTAACAACACTGCCTCCCCCTATAATGCAACCTGACCCGATGGTGACTCCTGGGAGGACCACAACACGGCCTCCGATCCACACGTCATCTCCTATCGTAATTGGTGCGCCATATTCTATGAGATGCTTACGCGCCGAGGCTGCCCTCCTAACATGAAATAACATAATCAACATAGTTCAAATAAGCGCGATAATGCAATATCTATATCGGTGATTCTATCTAGCAATAACCACAAGCATCGCCAGCTCAAAATTCGAATCCAGTCCTGATATACCCGACTCACGGATGGTCCGCGGCGTAAAGATTCACACCAGGCCCGAGAAAGACCTACAAGATATTCAAGTTCGGCTAAAAACTTTCGACCTTACGTTGTTCCCGATCCGGACAGGACATGTGTCAAGTATGACAAGATCGTAGTTGGAATAGAAGTTATCACCGATATATATATTGGAGCCATAATCACAGCGGAAGGGCGGCTCAATGAAAGGGCTTTTGCCACAGCTACCCAGAGCGCCTATAAGGCAACTCTCGACGCCCGATCTCGATCAGCTGTGAGCTACCTTTCAAAAGTCGCTCTCTAACTTGAATGAAATCAGTTGCATCATCGTCGGTTTGGTTATACTGCCTACACCACACCTTAGCCTTGGCTCGGAGCTGTATAAGGCCTTCTTTCATCGGGTGATAAAGCTCCCCACGCAACATACGCTCTCGATTATCCTCATCAGAGACGATCTTAAGTGACATCACTAATACTCCTCAAAGCTAACCGTCCTCCTTGTATTCAACTGACCAACTTTCTCGATCATAATAATCGACCAATTTCTAAACTTTCCGTAGACTAACAACGTTAAAGTGTCGTGAGGTGAAAAATACTAGTAAGTTATATATTTCAAGACTGCTACAGGCCGCGAATACCTCGTTTTTCACAGAGTATTACGCCACCTCACATAAACGAGTGAGACTCCATTGAATTCAAACATGCAGTTAGTATTAGTGACGATGTCAAACACAAGTCGGTGGTTGAGTCAAACTTCATAACAACTGTAGAGTGAACGCAGACACAGTCTTCTAGTGAACGCAAGGACTTCGCGAGTCGTACGGTATCCCATACTTCTTGAAAAATTCCTTCTCTTCATCGGTAGGCTCCATAGGGGCCGCCTTGATAGGTCTACATGGATTGCCAGCCGCGATCGTGTGCGGAGGGATATCCTGACATCACCATGATGCGTGACCAGCAGTATAGACACTTACCTTGGTAACAACACTGCCACCTCCTATAATGCAGCCTGACCCGATGGTGACTCCTGGGAGGACCACAACACGGCCTCCGATCCACACGTCATCTCCTATCGTAATTGGTGCGCCAAATTCGACACAGGTAGCCCGCCCGGCAACGGAACGCCTAGAGGGAGTAGTGACAACAACGATGGTCGGCAGTGCCGACTTACGGGTGCTCCGCTGTGTACAAATGTACGCCTGGACCGAGTAGAACCTGTGTATAACTCTGGCAGACACAACATCTGCATCACTCACATTGTTCCCGATACGGACTGGGCAACAGTCCAGTATAGCAAGGTCGTAGTTAGCGTAAAAACCATCCCCTATGAATACATTGAAGCCGTACTCGCATCGGAAGGGAGGTTCAATAACCGCTCCTTCACCGCACGCTCCGAAGAAACCTAAAACGCCATCGAGTGAGAAATGCCTGTGTGGAACGCCAAATACCTTTCATGAGCTCTTCTCGTTGCGGACAGACACCAGTGACGGAGTCATCGGTGGCATTGAACTCTCTACACCACAATCTAGCTGTGGTCCTGAGCTCATCCAGTCTCGCCTTGCCAGGGATGTACAGCTGTCCACTCGACATGCGCTCGACGTTCTCGTCCTCGGTGAGATCCATAGGGAAGGGGACGTGCACCAATTATAAACTGCTGAAGGAAGTTTGACCACTACGACAACACACGGTAAATATTGCTCACCCTTCTCTGCCCCGATTAGCATGTGAAAGCTTCCAAAATGTAAACTTTGGAGAATACATGAGATCTTGAGCGTGTATCGCATCTAGTAGACTAGCATATGTCGGCGTAGTGCGCTCTAGCGCAATCAAAAAACTGCCAGTGAATCCAGCGAAGCGGTGGACAATCATGCGCTTTTATTTTCTCGACCGCCGCCCAAGGACCCTCGAGTGATTCTCCTAGACTCGAGCTTTAATTGAACTCCGCATGAAGTGAAGTGGAAGCTGAGCGCGTCCGCTGAGTTACTCATCCATTCGAGTGGCAAACTTGCTAGTATCTGTATTCGTTACTCTCCTCAATGACTTTCGTCCGGCGTTTTTTCTCCCAGAATTTGAAAGACGCCGCCCTGCAGTTGGTTGGCATGGTCCTGAGCCTGTGGGCCCTGCCCAGTCTACACATAATGCTCAGGGTTGTCAGGGAGAGGCAGGCCCTTAAGCCCGATACCTACCCGCAGATGACTGATTTGTTTTTGTCGGTCTTATGGGCTCTGCTATTCGCACTTGTACAACACTTCTCAAGGAAGGTAGTATTCGGGAGGAATAGAGGACGTTGGGGTGGGTCAAAACACATATGCAAACTGCCGATGTCCGCGATGTAGGAGGACGTATTATACATTGATTATTTACTATAGGCATATATTACTATATACTAAATGGTATAATAGCCTTTTGATACTATTGTATATACTCATATCTACAGCAATTATGATTGGTATTTTTTATGTTCAATATTAGATCGTATACTGGTAGTAGCTGGAGTAGGTACTGACGACCATTGGATATAGGATTATCCCTAGGACGGCATCCTGGTCTTTGGAGGTGTGGGCCGCTAAAGTATTTACGACAATGCTTACCACACTCCTGTGAACTTACTCTACTTAGGTGGGGAGGTTCTCCAACTCAGTATACAAGCTATTCGTTCACCTCTCATTCACTTTAATCCTACTCGTAGTGCTCCGTGACCAACCTTGGCTCCCACCGGTCATGGGTGGACAGTAAGTACCTTATACAGAATCATTCGTCCCCGAGCCAATGCTTGTCAGAGGATTCACAGTCTATTGTTGGACCAACGGTTTCCCCTTCCAGCCGCCTGTTTCCGCTCTCACTAGAACCTACCAGGTAGGCTCATTCGCGGACCTACTTTGTATCTTTAAGTTTCAACCTCAGGCCGTCATAGGATATCTTATGTGTGAGGCTGCAACCCATATGATTCGGGAACGCGATCGCCCGGATTTCACGGAGCTTATGTTACACAACTCCCTGGTGAGTTCTCATATACCCTCGAGCCGTAACTCTGCCACACTCATAGGTCCTATTGCTCACCGTGTGCTCCTACCTCGGCAATTACGTCCGAATGGGGTCCTTGGTGATGCTCTCCAACTTCGCCCCTGATGTTATTGGTGAGTACCACTCGTCCTGTAATTTACCATTCCTTACTGTCAGTGTATATGGCTAAGTCGCTAGTGGACACACCCTGGTCGGGTGGGATACTCATATACATCCCTCTGGCGTTAACCTATTTCTATGGCAGACTTTACATCTTCATAGGGTACTTCACCACCTGCTTATAATGATCTATCACTGATGCTCGCGCTCAGGTACTTGTTCCGTTCGGTGTGGATCGAGGCACCTAGGATGGCCCCGGAGGAAATACAGGAGTACTGGAGTTTCCTCGTCACCCTTCTGTGCGTAATGCTGGTCATGAACACTTACTGGTAGTGCAATAGTCATCTGCAATAGAGACTGCTGTCGGCCCACGTGCCTCATAGGTTCGTCATGATCCTTAAGATTGGTTTATTCATCCTCTCCACGGGTCAGAGTAGAGATATCCAAGCCAACCTGTCGGCTATAGACTTGGATAGTAAGAAGGCAGTTTTGTCTCCCCGTGCTGCGTCGGCTCGGAATCAACACCCGCTGTCGGCTTCTGGGAAGAAAAATAACAGAAAGAGCGAGTGAATCTCCAAGGAATAACAGTTCACCACGGTCACGTGTCTAGTTTGCAGTGACAGTGTCGTTTTTCCTCCTCTTCCTCCATATCCCTCCCACAGTGGAATACGCTGTACTATTGACGGCATAAGTATCGTTATGACGTAGTACCGTAGCTCGTTCACAAAGGAGCATTATGGTTCCGAGTATCCCACCGAGCATTCACTTGTGTCAAAGTGCCTATCAATCATCGCCTGGACGGAGTGCATGTTATCCTAACAGCCGATTTCTCCTCCTCCCCTTAGTTGATTCTTCATGTCTGGGAGATCATTGTTCGAAGTGTCCGGGCTCGACCGTCAGGGTCATTTTGCCAGTCTGGACTCTCTAGTGGAAGCTCGACAGGCTACCACCGAAGTACCAGTGAACCCTGAGGAGTACATCACCAGCATGACTGACGACCAAGTGAGGGAGAAGGCTCGGTAGTGATGGAAGGCCGTTGGTGATGGCTAAGGTGGTGGTAGGTTAGCGGCCGTTGAGGATCCGCTCAAGAATGCCGAATCTAATACGGACATATTCCAGAACTCGGACAGTGACGAGATGGAGTATGATGCTGATCTTTTGGGGTAAATGAATCTCACTTGTCGGTTTATATATGCCTTTCATCAGTGGCCCCAAGCCCAAGGGTGGATTAGCGAAATTGACTTCGGGAATAAAAATTCCTGGTTTCGTCACCCAGCCAGATAAATACACCAAGTACTACCTGTACCGAAGGGTTCATTGGGTTAAAGGGCATTTAGGTATTCTCTAGACAAAGTCGACTCGTTGGGAAGGGCTGCTAACGAGCGGGTGGCTGTGGACTTCATTTACAAACTACGTGGAGAAGAGCCGCCCGATGGGGTCCTTCCTGCTACTTCATCGGATTCGTTCATTCCACAGTATCGGCGACCCTCGACTGGTGAGGACACCGCTATGGTGGGGGTGGGAGGCAGTTCGGGAGAAGTTGGCGTGAGAATGGTATGACGAATGTGGACGACGACTTCGTTGTCTATTATTGTGTGATAGGATAACTGCCGTGTGATGCCGGAGTGGACGCCCTTCAACCAAGCTCAACGGCGGAGTCGATCACGGTCATCTAGTGAGAGCCGACAGCCGCGTCGAAGGTTGGCTGAGGGGGAGCAGGGCGAGCAGCAGTACTCAGTTGAGAGGAAGGGAGCTGTAGGGGCCTTGAAGAAGTCTGTAGGAGTCGATGATTACATTCAGATGAGCATCACTACGGAGGAGGAAGATGAGGATGACGATGAGTATTCGGATATGCCCGGGCTGATGGAGCTCGATATCGACTGAGTGGTACTAGGTACTCAGTTCTCCACATTATTACGCCTGTTGTAAAGTTTCAATGTAACTTTGACTATGTTGTTGTTGCGTACACTACAATGAGAATATTGCCACAATTGTTTTTCAACACATGCCATTTTGTCGACCATTACTACCGCGAATAACTATCGTCCAGGGTCGGCGGACGCTAGTGTCGGCGAGCAGTGAATTCCTTGATCCACTGAAACGTGTAGAAAACCTCGTGCGAAGGATAACGGACAAGGAATGCCACGTGAATGGAGCTCCTAGGGTGACTAGGGAGGATGCCCGGGACTTGCTCACCTACATGCAGCTCATGCGCCCGGCAGAGATCTCTATGGTTATCCATTACATGACGAAGGCGCGGTATGAAGATAGGGATTTTTGGTATGTCGGGAATACGAGTATCATTTAGCTACTGGGCGCTTCTCGTGGGTGCTGCTTCTCACTTGGTGCATGCGTGATGACGGTATGTATCCGTAAATCGATTGCAGTTATTACCTGAGGAAATCGTACAATACGATGGTCCGAACTTGACAGTGGATTAGCGTACTGAGCATACCTCGTCAGCCGTCGCCTTTAAGCGACTCTTCAAGCGATTCACTCCCTCCACCTCAGGCGAGACCTCCGTCGGGAACTGTGTTGTAATAGCGTCACTGCCAGCTTCCGTGTCCGTGACCTGAGTATGGTCGTCGGTAGTCTCAATTCAGTGGAGCTCCTGGATGCCCAGGTGGGGTCATCAGACAGGATACACTGTAAAAGAAGTCTCATCTCAGACGCTCGCATGCTTGACGGCGAGCACTCGACAAGCGGCTTGCACGTTGAATATGGACTCGCTCATGCCTCTTATTAGGACCTATATTAAACTCAGTGATACGGGCGTGGGTAGAAAACGTCCTCAAAAAGCCTAGGGTCATTTCGCGTGGCCCTGTCAGCATCCCCTGAGGGTGTTTTGAAGGCCCTGGGGGCGACCGACTTCTACCCGATCACTTCGATGTGTGCTGACTACCTCCTCAACCGTCCCGCTGTTGTTACTTCGTCCAACGTGGTGGAGATATTCTCAGGGTTGGCTACATTGAAGTATGATGGGAAACACTGTTATGAAGTGATGGAGCTACTAATCATGTCTAATGATCAGTGCTGTATTCTCAGGCTTTATTACGCAAGTGTCGCTTTTGGATCCTCACCATGCCCTACGAGGCTGTAGCTATCTTGTTGCAATCAATGGCTAGGGTCAAGATGAGAGACTCCGAGCTTGTAGGCCCAGTCGTTACTAGTTGTGGTCGTTGCTGTTGTTGTTGTTGTTGCTGTTGTTGATGTTGCTGTTGTTATTGTTGTTGGCTCTGACACTCAGCCACTTCCGTTGTGGACGTTCAGTCTATCACGCTCAGGAGGGTAAGATTGCTCTGAGGCTTGCAAACGATATCGAGAAGGCTACAACTAGCGAGGAGATCGCCAGCATCGCTGTGTGGATGGGCTCACTGACTCATCACTTCTCGAAGCTCCATGGAGAGTGTAACAATGACGCATTTTTTCCCGCCTGCGTACATTCCTTGCCTTCAGCCCACCCTACTCTACAGAAGACTATCATCAATCACTTACCCTCGGTCGTCCACACTATGTCTGCCGAATGTCTGATGCTCACAGTTCCGCCACTGCCGTTATTGCTCACGGGCACTCCACCAAGAAACTTCAGGGATGCGATATTCTCGGAGAAGTGTCGTCAAGAACTCCCTTCCTTCATCAAAGAGGGCCTCTGTGCGATTATGTCAGCAGCGTAGGTCGACGACATACTGTGTACTGCATCAGCAATTGTAGTTTTAGATATCGTCTCGGGTATACCTACGATACGAGCTGGTGGGAAGAGGCTTCTGAGTTGACGGTGAAGCCGGTGATGAGCCATGCATGGAGTGCTGTGAGTGTGGCGACAGTAGCTTATCAGCTCACTCATTTGGGAGAAGCTGAGCATAACATTCATGCGACTTTGGACCAGTTAAAGGCGTTCCGCGAAACACGGAGTGAATGGTTCACTCGAGCTGGAGACTCCCTGGCGGTCCAGATTGGGCGATGGTAAGGTAGAGAACTGCCATCGTGTTTAATTCTGTGGAGTCCTTTCAGGCCGCCCCGACCAGTTTCAACCCTTTTAGCATGTTTTATTAGAATGAATGAGTGCCCTCATCAGACGACGCTCGAACGGGCATTGGACCGCGTTGAAGTCGACATAGATCGCTATGATGGTCTTTCTCTTACTCAAGTTATCACCGCTATGGCAAAGTTTAATCTCATCAACATAGCAGTACTAGAGGACATCGAACGAAACTTCAAGTCGGGGCGAGTGAAGTTCTCGCGCTCACAACTACGAGCGGTCAAGAGAGCGTACGACGATATCGGACGTGATAAAGCATGCATGATGATTTCCTAGTTTCTGTAAGGGTTTCTGCTAGTCGTGAAGAGATGCGTTGGAAGTTCATCATCGTGTTACTTCAAGTAAAGGCCCGTACCTGAGGGCATTGAGACGTCTTGTCACTGACACGATAATACACTTGCCGTTGGTGCCGTTCGGCGAGACATGTAGGTGTAAATGGATATGTTTTGTATGAAATGAATGAAGTCTCAGTATTACACAACGAACACTTCATCAATGAAAAATATTATCATTGGCCCTCTAAGATTGATCCATTGGACCAAACATGGGTAGTATACACCCAAGAAAAGAGACGCAGAGAAATTTTCAACCCGGCACTTCACAAGAATAGCTGAATATGTATCTGTGCCGAGTTGGATTTGAGCACCTCGAATCAAATAACGAATGAGAAGCTGCTCTCCTAAAGAGACTTAAACATCAACGTCAAAGAGCTCAATCTTTTCTAGAGCAGAATTCTTGAGCAACTTCACGTCGACACCAGAGATCTCTACCTTTAATGATCTGGGAGACCCTTCGCGAATCGTAAACCATCCCAAGTCCGGCTTGATAGGGGCTCTGTTACCAAACTGGGGACAGCGGCGGCGGAATTCATTCAGCATATTCCTGTAAACGGAAGTATTGTCGATATAATCTTTCAAGATCAGATCACTTGGCTCATCGTCGGACTCCAACTTGAATATGTGGTTATACGGAGTACTGCTCTGCCCACACTTGAAAAGGATCCCGATGGTCTCCGCGTCGGAGTTCACCGTGACCTTCATATATAGGTTGGAGGGTTGTCCATATCTAGCAGTGTATTCACCGTCGTAGGGCTTTGATGTGACCCCACTCATACCAAGCTCAATGTGACGACAAACAGCAGCAGGGAGACAGAAGAGTCCGATCACGAGAGAAGTCTTGGAGGCCATATCAACACGCTAAGCCTGGTTCCCAATATGTCTTTGCCCGATAACGTAGCACGAGACATTCGACTAGTACACAATGGTGTTGTGTCGGTCGTCGTGAATGCAGTCGTTCCGGACTGCATTCACACTGAAAAGATACGGAGTTGCGTGCACTCACGTGCATACATCCACGAATTCTATGCTGATGCCTGGCCGCTCTTATCACAAAAGTTCTGTACGGCACATACGCGCATCAGCTTGGGACCATACGTCACGTATGCCCACGTACGTACCGTATCCACGTATGATACGTGGATCCTGATGCAAGAATCAGATTCAGAGATTCAGAGAAAAATCAGCCAATAATTCCGATGCGTGAGTAAAATCGACACAGAAAATCGACGAGAAAAATCAAGATGCAGCGTCATACCTCCTCAAGTTGCTAGCACATCGGCATCAACTCTAACGAAGCACGCGACGGCGTTGGACTTTCAACTTGCACACACATGTGAGGTTATACTATCCGCTATGATCCGTACGTGAATGCCACTCGAACCGCATGAAGCGTCGCCATATGGCGCATTATGACGCGTGATAGTGCGTTGGGAGCGTTGCGGTGCGTTGCGCACCGACATCCCGAACCGGGATCACTGTAGGAGACGCGCTATAATGATGATGGTCAGCTTCCACCCACACCGGTTTGTCCAGTGCCTCACAATGACCGAGAATCCCGACTACTGCACTTACCACTTTTCGACTTACCACTAACTATGAAGAGTTAGGCCCTGAAACTTCAAGGTCACCTGCCCCAACGGTCCCTGCCGAAGAACATGTGTGATTTGCCGCAAACATGAACGACGATGGTAGGAGCACCGAAGGCACTGTATTTCTGAAGTCGAAGGTCTTCGAATCTTCAGCCAACTTGACTGACCTCCAAGACCTCGTTAGTTGTATCAGTGAGCTCCGCTTTACTAATCGTCTTCGCGTCCTCCAACAACTTCTTGGTATCCGTCTCGTAGTACTGGCCTAGACGGTGCTATATCTGGATTGTGATATCTCGCTGAGCGAGACTGCTCTTTGCTGGAGGTTCTCTATCGAGCGCTACTCATTTCCACTTGGAGTAGCCAACGCAGATACCGTCTCGATGATGCAACATCAAAGCTCATGCTAGATGCCTGATCTTCATATCAGCTCCCTTCGTTGTTTTCGATGCTTGAGACTTGGTAGATGTTCGTTGCTTAGACCAGCTCAAAATTGAAGCCGAACGTAACCACTCGGCGAAAAAACATGGTATATGTGTCGTTTCTACTCGGTGGGAGGGAATTGAATCCTCGAAAGATTGCTCCGTGGCGCCCAACTGAGTTGGAACAACTCGTCATAGGAAAGCATTCAGCTTTGATGACGATCAGTAACGCAGTTTGGTTGCAATCATCAAATGTTCATCAAATATGCCATCTTCGCTGCTATCATCGCAACGGTGTCCAACTCATCCAGTACTTTGTCTCGGCTTGCTTCCGGACTGGCCGGACTGTTCAATGTGAGTTTGCTAGGCAGTGTGGGACAATATGCACATAGTCAACACATGTGTTCATGACAATATGAAAGTTCTGAGGGAGTTTTGGTAAATTCTTGTTGGTTCCTGGATACTTCTACCCTAGTTCGTATATAGACTCACGTTGAACACGTATTACAACACTGTTGCTGGGCAAGGTCTCCAGCAGAGATTCTCCACAAACAGTCGATGAACACAATCTCACTGCGTGTTATTGTGCTCAATCAGACGTAGTTGACTCGGTTGAGAGAGCTCACCGGTACCTCGGAATCACACAGTTTCGGATCTCAGGATTTTCCTCCCCTGCAAATAGCCGATTCAAACTTCTGCCACTATAACAATCGCGAACAGAAGGAGGACAGGAAATTACTGTGGGTGATTGTGAAGCCAGAGAGTGAGCTGCAAACTCTCTACATCGTATGCCCGCGGACCTTCCAATGGGAAACATTCCAAGTTGAATTGTAAGCCTATCTGGGGATGAAGCGCATCAACTATGCCTCAGTTCTGCTTTTGGACGCTTGAGCCGACATTATCCTGGTGGCCACGACATGTGGAATCCCGGGAATGCGAAGGAAGCCGAGCATCGTGATTACAATTCAAGTGACATCGAGGATCCCCTCAAGGGAAAATTTCGGATAAGTCCTTCTTCGGAGCCAGCGAAATTTTGTTCTGAGGCTGTCCATGCGCTGAAGAAGCATTATGGCAGCTTCAAGAAGATGTGTGGTCAGTATCGAGCGGCGGTCTTAAGCCAACCGCTCCATTTGAAAGTCCCCGAAAAGAGTGGTCGCAAATTTTCATTCCGACCCAAAATGCCCTCCAAACTCCTGTCGTTAAATCTCCCCAAACTGAAAAAACTTTCCTTCAAACGTCGTTGAGTGAAACTTATTCATCATAGCCTGGGAATGCTCATGCTTCAAGGATTCTCTACAACTGTTTAACGTGCTCGATTGGAGGATGGATGTCCGTCGTCCTGCATGATGCTACTGTGTTGTTGAATACGAGTGTCTGGTTGTTGTATCGTAGTTGTCAAAAATCTTGGTGATAAAAACCATGCACTACTACTAATGACACGTGGGAATTCAGCTTTCGCACCCAGCGCGACTCGACGTATAATCCCCGACTGTTGGGCGAACATCATAGAATGCATGCTGAATGTATACGAAGATGTGAGCTTTCATGATTTCATTGAAGCACAGGAAAAATGGTTAAGTTGCCTCGTATCGTCACTGGCAACCAAAGTCAGCCTGTGATAATCACATGAAACTACCAAAAACAAGTTCAAATGTCTCTGTGGGATTAAAGTCGGCTGTTTGGAGTTTTCCTCGCCGGATTAATGCCGTAATAGTCCTTATTGAGGAGGAAGGCAATGTGCTCCCAACGGTCGCTGCCGAAGAACATGTGTGGTTTGCCGCAAACATGAACGACGATGGTAGGAGCACCAAAGGCATTATATTTCTGAAGTCGGAAGTCTTCGAATCTGCAGCCAACTTGACTGACCTCCAACGCCTCGCTAGTCGTATCAGTGAGCTCCGCTTTACCAATCGTCTTCGCGTCCTCAAACAACTTCTTGGTATCCGTCTCGTCGAGGCCGGCGGTCGTACAAATTCCACGTAAAAACTCGTCATCTAGAGCGACACTTCGGAACTATACCGTAACGGATATACTCCTCACTGATTTGAGCTAGATTGTTCTGTGCATCTCTGAGACTCTTATCCTCCCAGACAGCCTTGAAGGCGGAGTCAGTGAGCTTTTCTCGTATCTTCTGGTTTGGTGCGGCCGCTAGTAATCTGGACACGGCCTTATAAGTTCGAAGTTGTCATCCTCTCGAGGAACTCGCCTCTGTATCATGATGATCTGTAGAGCCACTTGAGTGAAGAAGTTCTTCGGTGTACGGAGCATTGGAACATCGAGGATCCGAGCGGACCTCCTACCAGCGGTTTGAACAATAAACGAATAGTGCTTAGCAGCATTCACCGGAGATCTTCCTGCATGAACCTTCCCTTGTTGAGGACCACAGCTGGCGGGCGGTTATTGCTACCCTTCATAATGCCTCCAAGGAATACCGGACGTAATACCACACGGATATCCCATATGGTACCTATGACCACCTAGTAGATGCTTACCGTGCAGTACTCGCCCTACTGTATTGCTTTAGTGTCTGCCAGGCGAGATATGTATATGGAGATATGACGTCGTAGAAGAACTCGAGCTTGGCCTCTTGAGACACCATAGGGCAATGGTCAACACAAGGCTACCGCCACAAGGCACATGGCTACCACCCAGAGCGACTGTGAAACTACGCTCGAGAACGGCGTGGTAAATGTAGTCAACTCAACCAAGCAATGGAGACTATTTTCTGTACTTCGCCTAAGGAAAACTTGCTAAGTATCCGATCGCCTAGCCAATACCAGAATTCGTATACATTCTGTAACTCAAAGCTAGGCTGTTCATGAGGGCACCCCAACACGATAGCATCAGATGAACCAACACTTGACATGATGCACGGAACATGCGCTTAATATACAACAGAAGAGAATGAGAAATATGAGTGATTGAGGAATACTAATACGCCTTGCATGACATTGCCAGACCAAAGAGCATGTGCACTGCGACCTGATAGGGTTGGTATATTGCCGAGGAACAGCACATAACAATGTCATAACAATCTGTACTCGATGGTCAGGCGAGTTGAATCAGCCTAGTTTGCTCTGGATCATACTACCCACGACTCGTGAGTGGATACACATACGACAAATACGGACACCAAACTTCCACTCATGAGTTACGAGTGAAAGTTTGGCCTCCCTATTCCATTGGAGTACGACCTAATAGCTTCTCTCTAGAATCGGGTGTCGATATCAACGACTTCACTGTGTAGTGCCACACCAGAAGAGAACAGGACTATGTTGTTCCGGAGGGAATCGTCTATGTCAAAACTAAACAGTTTGCGTAACCTGGGCTTATAGGGTGTTGCACTGCCTCGGGGTCTGACGTACTGAATCTTCAGGCTTCTCCCATGCACAGGGATCAAGTATTGAAGTTGGCACTCCATGAGACGCAATAGAGTTCACTCCGACTGACCGAACGCCGCCGTCCTGATCAATCAGACAGTCTTCTTCTTCTCATTCTACATCTTGGTCGCGGCACGACCATTGATGACCTTCTGCCGCCAAGAGAAAACCTGTCGCTAGAATAACTTCATTATACATCCGCGAAGATCCTTCTTGTTGCCTTACAGTGCCTCCGACAGGCTCCGATCTCTCATGACCGTATTTCCGAATGGAGGCCAAGGCAAACCTCTGTTGCGAATCTCTTCAGCCATCAATCAGACAGTCGAGTTCAAATATTTGAGACTAAGTACTATAGAGCGAGCGAAATTGCTAATGAGTGGGTATTGAGCTTTGCTGATGGCTCAGCTCAGCGTAGACCACCAACGTCCTAGTCAGCTTCTAAACTCGCGCGATTGAGCTGCATTGCTGACCATCACCTTGGAGAGTCCCATGAACCAGATGACGGTCGCGAATTCTCGTCCGCGCCTGCTAGTGTACACGACGTCTTGTTGATCAACAACAAGCCCAGACAAGTCGTCAACAACACAACTTCGACGAGGAGTGGTAAGAAACAGGAAAACGTTGAAGAGAGATATGATGCACAATCGTGAGAGAATGACAACCAGAGATCAGAACCACGATCCAATAGAGCTGTTCTCTTTGATCTCCCTTTGATTCTGTCGAGCTTCCCGAGACTTCTGTACATTTGGCTTGGCCTTATTCTTCGACCGCAGTTGTCGATTTACCTACTATACCATACCACAACCGACTCACCAAACAATGCGGAAATTACCTTCGCCCGAACGTCCTTACCCTGGGGTTTTCGCCTTTGCTTTCGTAGAACATGATTCTGGCTTTTGATCACCCGTCGCTTTTCTTCTCTATCCTCCCACTCCGATGCCGTAGACTGAGCCGAGACGAGGTATTTTGCAAGTAATCGAGTAATACGCCGCTCACCTCCGGACCATCACTAACAGCTCCTTCACCATCAACATCCACAGTTGGGGAGCTTTTGGGATCTGCCTCCAACCCAGCCAGAAGGTCATCAAGGGTGTCGTCTCCCTCGGTGAGGTCAGGACACTCCTCTTGGTCGAGACCCGCGAATGCCTAGGACAAACAGAATCCACAAGAAGTGTCGAAGGTATGGTATGCACCGCGCAGCTATCCATAAGCAGCTTATCTTCTCCTTCAGTGATGACACTAGCAAGGTTTATGCCCTCCACTTTGGTCTTGGCTCGGTAAACAGGCAAAACGTCCTCCTCGAAAGACGGCACTGTATCCACCATATATTTGTGGTTTTTGGCGAAGTAGGTCGCGATGCATTCGACATCTCTACTCCAAGGAAAGGGCTCATACAGGGCCTTGAATGAATCCTATAATACCTTTCAAAGATACGTTTAGCGTCGGGATTTTCGACAGAAAGGACTTGAGGGAAATCGATGACGTAGACCTCGTAGTCTTCTACCTCACTGGACTCATCGAGAGGATTTACTCGTCTAAAAAGGAGTCAATGACTGCAATGGAGCTGACGACTATCATACACTGTCCGTATTAAGAGATTGAACTCGTTGAAGTCACCATGAATGACACCGCTTTGAGCTATACTGAGGAGCAGGGACCTGAAGCCAGAAGTCATTCAGCCTTGGATACGACAAGCTCATATCATGCCGACTCCGAACACTGTTATAAGAAGGCTTTATTCCTTAGTACATGCATCGTTCGAGAAGTATCTCTGGCTTTTCCAGCTTCCTTATTTGACACATGGGAGTGGCGTCATCGAGGTACTCCATCACAATAGCATGTCTATTGCTACCAACAGGCTCTGGTACCTTCACGCAAGAACTCTTCTAATGCTACACTCAGTAAGTAAGGCTCACAGGGAAGCCGGCGTTGTAGAGCTCAGTGAGGTAGGCGTACTCCTTAGCAGCTGCTAGACGAGCCAAGTACATCCTAAGGAGATCCAACATAGTAGAGGAACCCTTTAGGTTCGGCTTACCAGCTTGCAGACTGCCGATGCTGTAGGTAGTCTCTGTTCTCTTTTACTGTCTTGAAGGACACTCTACCCAAACGGTGGAACTTGATAACAAGTTGTCGACCTGCAACCAACAGAGTTTCCCACTAACCTCAGTTCCCCTTGCTAGGACCTTCATCGTCAGTGCAAACGTGTATATCACTCTCCTTCCCAACGCCTACCCTCTGCCCAACTCCAGCGATATTCCCACGAGACATCAAAGTCCTGATTTGGCGATAACCTCTAGGAAAAGTAAAAGGGCTTCCCTACCTGAGGGCGAGAAAGTCGTAGCCGTTGTAAGTGAGCTTGTAGCCATCGTAGGTCTTCCCGTCGTGTGCCACCAACTTGTGCTTGAGTAGATTCTGCAGAGTCTTGAAGCAACCTGATTGGCCATAAAAGCCGACTAACTAGGTGAGACTCGTACCTCCACGTTTGAGCCCAGCAATGCTCTCCACCAACTGCAACGGGACCAGCTCGTGGTTCTTATGGCCAACCTCGAGAGCCTGAGGCAATGCAAGGGTGAGGAACTCATTATGGTACGCCGTAGCAAGTCATTACCTGTAGGACTCGTAAGTCCTCCTTGCTGAGGTAGCGGAAGATCTCACAGTCTAAACGCATGAAGGTAAAGGCTACTGAGGCTCGTCAACGTAATCAACAGGCAACAGGTAACACAATACGTAGAAGTGGGAGAAGCACTGTCAGCAACAGACGACATGTTAGTCATCATACTCATCACTTTAGGACAACACGCCTGGTTGTAGCTACGCATGCATCCCAAGGCCAGTGCTACTGCACTGACCTTCAGTAAAGCAGTCGTCTAGATCGGCAATAGATGTATGGTAATGCGGCTGATAACGTATAGTACGAGACTGCCTCCGAAGGTTGCAGTCAACTTTCAATGAGGACCTCTAGATGCCTCCCTACCCCCAACTACCACAACTCGGCTCTCCGCGGCGCATTATCCAATACAGACACATCCAGTTTGGAATACACCTAAGCTGCAATCAGGAGCAAACGAGCCTGATCATGCTCAGCTGCTATCATCGAGTTGTCCCTCCAAACCACGGCAGTACCAAGACCGTATCACATGTTCTCAACTGTCTCGACGAGAGGCGTTCCCGCTACAGTCTAACTGAGTACTACTAAGTGCAATCATAGAAGTCTCCATTGTCTTTAGGTTCCCTGGTGTGAGTCCAAGGCCCTGCAGGTGGATCCAGCTACAGATAGAGCGCTCATTTGGCTTAACTGATGCCTGTCGGTGCATGCCGGTCCCTTCTATCTTGTGTAAAACCTATAATACTCTCCACCGATATCCTTAAGACCAACACAGACTACTATAAACTTGGGGGAAGTATATAGCCGTAGGTTAGCAACAACTACGGGCCTCGACAAGTCTACCCCTCGTTTAACCTCCCTGACACGCCTCTTTAAACAGGCCAATGACCGCATCAGCATTTTACATCCGCCAAGAGTTCCAACATGGATGAATCAAGAAATGTCCGTCGAGTATGGTTGAAGTCCAGCTCGCTTCCTGCCTCCTCGTCTATGCTTCAAGCTGGACCTATTGTGAATCTTCTATAAACCCTTCTTCCACTCGAGACAGTTTGTTCTCGTCCAATGGCCACACGACGGTCAGGTGAGAGGCTCCGAGGCAGGATATGGTCACTACTCGCATTCTCTGTCTAAAGGGCCGTTGAGGATGGGCCACGCTGTTTTAGCCTTACTCACGTAGTGCATCTGAGAGAATACTCGGGAACCTCTGATCCCAGAGGCAAGCTGGTGACAGGCAGCTGAGGAGAGAATTCAATGACGTACAGTATTGAAATTTGACGAAAGCACATAAATGCACAATATGCATCATTCGGACAGCGGAGCGATGCGCCGTCTTGACTTACAACAATGGCTTAGGGCAGCAGAACACTATCGAAACGCTTACTGCTGGATATCAGACTCCGGCTGCTGTTTCCTCGACTGATGTATTCATGAACAGCGAGTAGGACGACAGGATATTGTCACCACCTCATTGAGGTGTCTTTTATTTCACTGCACTGGGCAAGTATGTTATTGTGTTTTATCGTTATCAATAGAGGACCATTTGATAGTGCAGTGAGATGCCTCGCACAGACACAGTTATCACGCTAGTTACTATAAACTCCCAGGCCTGCCCATCGGAAATCATTCAAGTTGAATGATCCCACATACTGATGAACCTCAATGCTGTAACTGGAAGCTCAGCCTTTTGGAGGATTGCATTTTTGAAATCATCGCGAACCCCACCTTCTACCGCTCCGAGAGAGCCATCCTTCCATCTCTCGCTGAGCAGAGCTGCGTTGTCAATTCTGCTCAGCAGATTGCTCGAGATAGACAATTGCCTACCTCGCGAGGGTCACGGACAGGCTCATCTTTTCCTTTCCGATTAACCGTTAGCATAATCGACCTAGTTAATCGTCTCGAAGAGTGAATGGCAACAGCAGCGTACATTGGACTCAAGGCGGCAGGACGCCAGCATGCCTCTGCAGGTCGTTTACAAGCCCATGATCGACACGTTAAGGAACGACAACGTATATTATCGGTGAGAATGACTGGGCGAATCCTTGATTTACTCGATACCACTATTACACTACCCGACGCAAGCTCAGTGTGAAAGCAAAGAATATCACCTCTGAAACTCAGCTGGTTTGTTCGAAGAGCCTATGGTTGGGCTCCAGTGTCGAGACACATCATAGACTAGACCCGGACAATTCGAGTCTATGCAGATATTCAAGAAGTATGATACGGACAATAACCGGCAACTTGAGCGAGACCAGCTAGCTCTACTGCTACGAGATTATAATGGTGGCGAAGAGCCTGATGTCGACGAGGTATACCAAAGGACGCCTTCCAAAGTAGCCTGTGGCACTCTAGAGACAGGTGGAATTCATCATGAAAGTTGCTGATACAGACGGCACAGATGCTATAGGGCAAGAAGAAGTTCTCTACGCGTTGAAGGTCTGGAATACGTGAGAGAGATCCTTTCGTTGTGCTCGGCGAGAGCTCTCAGGTACCGCCATGCAAAAGGACAGATCAGAGAGTACTTCAATAAGTACGATTTGTCACGCGATGGTTGCTTGGACCGTGATGAATTGAAGTTGTTCCTGATGGATCTCAACGACGGCTTTAAGGCGAGGACGGCCACGCCCGCAGTGGTTGAGGCAGCCTGGCGAGAGACCGCTACCCCTTGCAGGTCAGCAACGAGGAGGTTGACTGGGTCTTCACCAAAGCTGATGTGCTCGGACACGGCAAGATACATGAAGTGGAGTTCTTGTCCGCAGTCAGCGCCTGGTGGGTCGGATCTTCGAGTGGGCCGACACACATTGTCTAGGTATGCTAACGTTGAAGATAAAGAGGACGAGAGATGCTGTTGCATCGTCTGACTTATCCGATTAGTGCTACTCACTGTTCACATGCTCTGGTTTGTCATTATTTACTTCGTTGATGTTGGCTGGATCAATTGACCCTCAGGGAGTTTTTCCAGTTTTCTGTCACATCGTTGTTGATGATGATTGTTGATGCTACATCAACATCATCAACTAGAGTTGGGAAGATGGAGGAGCTCTTACTCACGGCAACGCACCGGGAACCTTTATTCAAGCCAACCTTGCTTATCGAGTCAACTTTAATTGTCCATTCGGATCTTCGCCATGCAAAGACTCTGTTCGGAATTGGTTGTTGACAATAAGGTGTCTGTGCATGTGGTCCTATGCAACACGAGCTCATCCTATGTGCGCCTGATATGGTAGCCATACTGACCACGCTCAAGGGAACTACTGCACGAGCGAATTTGCGTCCAAGGGCGATTAACGAGTTTGCTGAGATGCGGTGTGCTCACAGATAATACATACCTCTTGCTAGAGAAGCACGTCATGAGACGATAACCGTTCGGTGCGATATCGACCCACCGTAATGGTGATTAGCACATCGGTCGTTACACAGGGTCGTGGCCAGAGACCGTGGTGCATGAACTAAACACAACACTCGGTTGAAGAATAGTTGGCCAACATAGAAAGGCCGAAGCTACGAACGCCTATAAATGAAATTCGAATTGTACTCAACTTGTCTATCGCAGTAAAGATCAACGGGGGCTCCCACCACCAAGGGCATCTTCCGAGTGTCTGTTAAAACTGCATCAGGATATCGCACAGAGCGCATGCCGCACAAGCACCTAAGGAACACAGTTCGCCAATAGAGACACTTTGTGTGGGTGTACCAAGCATCCCCGCACAGCAGGCGAGGCCGGCATCGCCATTGTCATAACGACGCCGATCGTCCGACTCGTGGATGATGATAGTTTGCTTAGGTGGTTGCTGGTAATTCACTGGTTGGGAGTACCTACACAGTAGACCCTCCGTTGAGAAACTGTGTAATAGAAAGAATGGCGAGTCACGGATTCAACGGAAAAGGAAAACGGACGGGATCCTTATAATGTCTGTTACCCTGATGTGGACTGATAAGAACCAGCATATGATGCTGATGGTATTTGAACTTGAAAAACTTCACCAGGACCGACTCCGTAGGGCACCTGTACCTACAACACACACTACTACTGCAGGTTGTAATCCCAAGGGGATAAGCCAACCTGGAGAGGAGCTCCAGTTTGAGGATTTGTGATTTGTAAAGTGGTACCGCTAGTAGCACCAGGAGGGACCTGGACCTGCCCACACCGACAATTCAACGGCTGCCTACTGCAAAGCCCTACAGAAATGATACCGCCTCCTCCGCCTCCAGTCTGATTCCCTCCTTGATAAGGATTATAAGCTGGTGGTGCCGATGCGGACATACAACTAAATAACAAAGTCACTTGTCATTGAGTAGGCAACACTAGACCAATGTTGGGCATATGAGAAACACCTTATTGCACACTGGAGGAACAACGCATTGCGTAAAGACCTTGGCTCAGTAGAATAGGCATATACAAAATCCCTTTGCCGAACTATATAAGAGGGTGAACGATGGAGACAAGACGCCTCCAGAGTTTGTCTTTGCAAATCTGGTGAAATTGGCTGCTGCTCATCCGATGGCCTCACCAAGGAGGCAACATGACAGCATAGCTGAGAAGGAATAAAGGTGTACGCCAAATAGCAACATTATGGTGTGGCTTACTGGAAAGACACAGACAACAACTAGCGGCTGATGCTGCGGCCTGGGCATTATCGTCCGACTGTGGGCGACCACTATCCGTGATAATGACAGTCTGGTGAGGAGGATGTTGATATCTGATAAAGTACTCCTATATTGATATCTGGTTAAATATAGGTGTTTACGAGTTCCCATAAGAATCATAGCCGCCGTATCCACTGTCGTAAGGTTGAGCTGTCACTACTGTTGGTGAAACCTGAAATACTCCAGACTAGTCACTGAACTGACTATGTTCAGACCAATCGCTATCACTACTACTACTACTACTACTACTACTACTACTACTACTACTACTACTACTACTACTACTACTACTCCTACTCCTACTCCTACTCCTACTCCTACTCCTACTCCTACTACTACTACTACTACTACTACTACTACTACTACTACTACTCCTACTACTACCACTACCACTACCGTTATTACCTCAACGTTGAACGTATCACCAGGTTTAAGGCCAGCCGGCACCTGTACCTGCATTGGTCTGCCTGTAGCAGGATCAGTGATCTGCAGAGTGCTACCCCCAGTAGCACCTTGGGGGACCTGGACTGTTAGAATTGCCATAATAAAGATCAACTAAATCTGAACAAAACCATTTCATGAAGTAGCACACCATTTCGAGGCAGGAAGACCAACACGCAAGCTCAACAACAGTTCGCTTTGGACAGATTCGATACCAACTGGTCGGAAAAGGAAGAGCACGCATATGCGCCTGAACAGTCCTCAGTGAGGACAGTGCTACTTTGATAAATAATTATTCTATAATAGTGATGTAATTGGCACTGTTACGGTATGACAGCAGTGGAATAAAGCTGAGTGAACCTAGCCACATGCTTCACCGAGGGCACAGCATGCTAGTAAACCTAAGACGTGAAGTTAAGCTACAATCCATAGAGTGCCATCCTTAGTACTTGCACACCATGCACAGCAGGCGACTGAGCCAGCAGCATTAGCGGCGCTCGGGCTCTGAGCAGGACCACTGTTGATGATCACCGTCTGTGGAGGGGCTTGGGTCGAATGATGTCTGAGGGGACAGGCACGTGAGGTAATGATATACAGGAGTTGTCACTACGGGCCACCGTAGGCTTGATCAGGGTCACCACCTACGGGCTTGCCCTGGACAATAGTTGGCCCGAGCTGAAGAGAGATAATAAGATACACAGTAGGAGGAGAGGTAGTACATCGACATTGAAGGTATCCCCTGGGTTGAGGCCGGCAGGGACCTGTACCTGGAAAGGTCTGCCAGAGGTGGGATCAATGATCTGGATGGTACTGCCACCAGTAGCACCTTGGGGGACTTGGACCGACACTGTTAACATAGGAACAGGGGAGGAACTAAACTGCCCGTATAAGTGCCGATTTATATATGTCCACAATTGAACTGAACTACTGCATACACCTGAGAGGTCTGGCTCGACCAGGGTCCCAGGAATGATCGATTGATTTGATGCTATGGGAGCACGCTTTAGCAGCATGCGTATGTGATGAATAATATGACGAGGGATATCAAAATTAGAGCGTGGCCAGGAGTTCCCTGATGTCGTGAGTTGTATCATCATTGATGCTCCTCCCACAGTGGCCGATCACAGAGCTAGGTTGACGTACCATCGTCACTCCCTCCACACAAACTACTTCTCAAACTTAAATGGGTGTATGCCGGTTTGGTCTGCATTGACCGCTATACAATGTACTGAGCTCAGCTCGACGAGCACTATATAAAAGGAACCCCCTTTCGAAGTTGGTAGGAAGGACCAAGGCGTAGGAGGAGGGAAGAATACCCCTTTCGAACCATTTCACGTCCCCAACCTACCCGGTGTTGGGCTGGTCCTTCTCATCGCTCTGGAAACCTAAGGATGATATTGACAAAATGAGAGCATCACATGGGAAGTTGTCGGATGACTATGCTCCACTGTGTAAGCGTTACAAAATCCAATGAGGAGTAGCCTCCTCCATTGTGAGTCACGACGATTAAATGCGTGAAGTTTAACAGTTACTGGAATATTTTACCCACTCTTAATCGCTCTGAACCTGAGGTGGTCGATTCTGGGAATATGATGGTGGTGGTCGATTCACAGACACATGATGGCTTAGGCGAGCTTCTTCTCCAGTAGACTCTCTAGCACTAGCTCATGGGGACTGAGAGCAACTTGGCGATGTATGAATATGTTACTGGCGACTGTAATCATTATGAGAGTTTGTAACATAATCAGCAGATTTGTTTCTGTTTTGATGGTATCTAACGGTTACTGATCCCTGCTAGCGGCCACATAGTCACTTTATATGCCCTAATGCTGGGAAGGATAGTCTGTAACCGTATGACTCGTTCTAAAGGAGAAAGTGCGCTGCCGTGATGCTCCGTGCATTGTTATGTGCTGTTGTTGATAGCCTCTAGTATTAGAGGCTAGTCGTGGATGGAGGAACATATGGTCCCGAGTGACTGCTTCCCAAGGAGGCCAATATAAGGCCTGCACGCAACGTCATCAACTGCAAGGTGTTCGTCAAGGACGATCTGTCGGACTGGGATGCAGTGCAGAAGCTCGTGTAGGAAGATATGAGTGGAAGTGGTCAAGTTACGGTATGAAAATTTTGGGCCTTTAGCTGCTATCCTTTGTAGGGAAGATGGTTGATGTCGATATGGCCGAACACGTCTTCACCTGTTGAGGACTGCAAAGAGTTGGACGACAAGATTGACGAGGTGAGGAATACTTGTTGTTTACCACAATCTACAATCCGATTTAGATCTAATAATTTCTATACTGTTCCTTCGTAGCTCAGCAATAAGGAGTTGCCCAGTGATAAGCCTTTATGGCAAGTCCATCTCCTGCCAGCAGCCGAGGAAGCTGGGCAGAAGAACTGTGTTGTGTTCCGATGCCATCACACGATGGCTGACGGCCTCACTCTGGTACGTCATATAGAATTCGAGACGTAGCGAGGGCGTTCGGGTAGGTCCAACTGTTGCACAGATGACCCCTACCCCGGATGGAAAGCTGATTACTCCCGTCAATCACAAGGCTGAGGAGCCAATGAAGGTTGGCCCTGTTGAAAAGGCCTTCATCGGCGGAATGGGTAGCATAGTTTTAAATGCGGCTCTTGTTGTTTGTTGGCGTTTGTTGTTCCCTGCTATGATGAGATTTCTACCATGATAGTTGTTTCTATGACGATACTACTGCTGATCTAGGTTCGTGTTCCTGTTGCTGTTAAGCTGCCATTCTCGCACGTTCGAGAGAAAGGCGGATAGGCGGTCTGATTGGTTCACGTCTAATGTGATTCACCCTAGTCCCCCGAGGTGTGCCCATTTTCATGCGCGGATTGGGATATTGGTTTCTACGCTAGATGTGGTGTTTGAGTTGCATCTAGTTGCATGTCGTCGAACATAGTGAAGGGAAATGTTGAAGGTCGTTGAGGTCCTTGTAGTGTCTTAAAAATACTGTGCTGATCAGCTGAGGCCACTTTGATAGTGTCTGCTGTGTGGAGTTGCCCTGAAACAGTACTTGAGAGGAAGAGATAAACTTTTGTATTGAAAATGGTTGTTGGGTTGCTCATTTGAAAAGTAGATATTTTCGAGGTCAACTCGTTGGGCCAGTTTACTCGGCGACGGTCTCCGGCGTGTGTGAAGGGACAGTCACGTTGTGTCGACGCAACACCTAGCGCTATTTAGCAGTGATTCAAAGTTCTTCCAGGTTGTTGGGTTACATCCCACCTTCGCCTCAGTTATTTGTCGTCCTTTTTTCCAACCTCCCGCCCACCCTGGCGATGTGGTGTGGCACCTCACGTTCTGTGTGAGGTTGGCCCCATCACATTGGCCGAGGATCACACGTGTTAAGTGTCATCGTCCGGCCCACGACCCAACGCCGGGGAGGAAGGGAGCCGGGTAACAGTTATGTACTTTAGTGTTGAACCTCCATTTCTACAGTGCAGGTTGATGTAGCATTGTGGTGCACTATTTTGTAGCGTGGTTTCGATGATAGTCTATTGATGGTTTACGAGGGAGAAAAGTTCCTTCCTCACACCAAATGTTCTATCTGACCATGATTATTCTAGCTCGGAAAGCTACGCTAATTGTTAGCTAACGTATCCACTCCTTCTAGCGTATGGGGACAGGCTTGTGTCGTTGGCCACCCGAGTGGGACAGTATTATGAGTGATTTCGCCTTGGTAGGGAATCTAGAATCCTTGGCTCTAGCTAGTGCTTCTCCTTCGTAGGGAATCTAGCATGCGTAGTACTCGTTAGTATTTTCCTGGGGTGAGGTTTTGTAGTTATTCTAACACCAGTTGTACTAGCTGGTACTTCTATCTGGTGGGGCTTCGTAGTGTGTTTGGAACTCTTGGTTCTGGATAGTACATTTGTTGTCAAGGCCTCGTAGTGAACCTAATATTATCGTCGCTTGACGACACGCTCATGAACAGCACATTGTTTCCTTTATAATGTTTGTCGACAGCTACTCGTATCTTATTGCCGCCACTATCGTTACTCTAGCAGCAGCTCTGGTCGGGAAGGTACTCTCTATGGCCATCGTAGGTGCCAACAAGAAAAGTGAGCTCAGCAGTTCTTGTTGATCAGCAGGCATTATGAGTTCAGGTTCGGGACCTCGGCCCATGACGTGGATGGAAGAGCACATGTTCCTCGCGGACTGTTTCCCTAAGGAGGCCAACCTCCCAGCGACCTGCAATGTGATCAACTGCGCTGTTCTTTTCAAGGATGCAATGCCTGACAGAGAAAGCATAGACAAGCTAGTGAGGGAAAAGGTGATGAGCTCTTGGGGAATCTGTCAAGCCTTGGTTGAGCCTTTTTCGTTCAGTTGTTATCATTTACGCGTTTCTCGTGCGTTCCTGATGTGAAGACCCACAGCTGGAAACCTGTCGACATTGATGTCGCCCAGCATGTGCTCACCAGCGCGCCGATAAAGAGCCGTGCTGCGCTGGATGATAAAATCGAGGAGGTAGAGTGTTTAGCGCAAGGCCTCTTCAAAATGATGAGCATGTCGATCAGATAATCAATGTACCATTGCTCACTGATAAGCCTTTATGGCAAATTCATCTGCTACCAGCGGCCCAAGGAGCTGAGCAGAAGGACTGTGTGCTTTTCCGCTCTCATCACACTATAGGGGACGGCATCAGTTTGGTAGGCACTGCTGGAGAGTACCTTGTATGGAAGTTGTACGCTTTATGTTTTCAGATCCAGTTGTTGGACGCTGTTGCAGTGTCTCGTGATGGAGGCCCTATTACTTACGTGAACCCTAAGGAGAAGAAGCCTATTAAAATGTCTTTGTTGACTAAGTTGGTTTATGGGGTTCTATTCTCTCTAGAATGGGTGAGTATAGGAAAGCACCTTCTGTGGAGGAGAGAGCTTCTGGTGTTAGGTTCGGTCGTTGATCGCCAATGTGTTGCAGACGAAGAGTTGCTTTGAGACGGAGTATGGTTTCAACTCATCATTAGCCCACCGTAAAGGTGATCTGACCTACAGTGGAGCGCGGAAGTCCATCTGTTTCAAGCCCTTCTCCCTCGACTATGTGAAGGCTATCAAGAATAGATCGCCCAAGAAGGTAGGCTCAGTGGCACCTTTGTGTAGAGGCTGCTCTACTTGTGTTTGTTTAGACTACTGTTAACGATGTGTTGTTGGGTGCTATGGTTGGCGCTATGAGGAGGTATGGTGGATCTGCTGTTGATAACAATACCGTTATGAGGATGCTCGTACCAGTTGGGGCTCCACTCGAGTTTGGTCCCAATCCCCCGCCTGAGGGTGATAGGCTTGGCAATAATTTTTCTTTTTGCAGTGTTGATCTGAGCGAGGTGAGTTTGTTACCTTTGGGTATTTTCTATCGACTCTTATTATTTCAGGCTATCCGATCGAAGGATTCGATCTCGCGTATGTTAGCAAGTAGTCGCCCTATGAACCACCTGAAGAAGTCGCTAGAGTTCCTCACCTCGATGTTCATCACCAACACTATCCTTCCTCTTATGCCTAAGTTTGTCCCCCAGGGGTCTAGCATGGACCTGTTTTCTCGCCATTCAATTGTCTTCTCGAATGTGCCTGGGATGCAGACGCCATGTTGTTTCGCTGGGAAGGAGGTAGAGTCTATCTACCCCATTTTCCTGAACATCATTACTCAGGTGAGTGCCGCATTGAAATTTTCGGAGAGTCTTTATTATTGCTTGCTTTCTAGGTGATCGTCCTTTCGTACAACCGAAAGTTGATGTTCAACATTACTCTCGACCCCAATGTGGTGAAAGATTATGATAAATTTGAAGGCTACTACCGAGACGAGCTATTGGACATGGGCGAGCGTCTTGGTGTCACCGATGTTCAACTTTAAAACTTGACTGATTTGTTTACTGTTTAGCAGCATGGTTACTTGGTCAACTGTTTCCTCATCGAGGGTTTTATTCTGGGTGAATTTTTGTTCCTGTTTGGGGCTCGTTATGGCATGTGCAAAGTTGTTTGCCTGGAGTCCTTTGCTCAATATTATACAATTGGAACACTTGAGCTAAGTTGTCCGTTCGCTCTCAACGGGAGGAGCCTCGTCTGTTTGCCATCCATACCGGTCAATGCTCTGATCCTCAAACAACAGATCATGGAACCATTGCTGCTAGGGTTGTATATCAACGTTTTGTCTCTTAAAACAAAAGTTTGTAGATTCCTGGTCAGCTCCGAGTTGGTAAATCACAGGGTGTTTCTGATGACGATTCACTATTCAGTGCTAGATGAGTCTAGTCGAGTGATTTTTCGAACAGAAGCTGCAAATGATGCACAGCATGGGATCTATGGTGGTATAACTCATTTAAAGCATCGTCCGATGTAGTCTAGCTGGTTAGGATTCGTGGCTCTCACCCACGCGACCGGGGTTCGAGTCCCCGCATCGGAACTTTTCCGTGCATTTTGTCACGACTAGTAAGCGTTTCAATTTTTAGTTACTCGATTATCGTTGCGCTTTTCGATACAGTCGAGTCGTTTGTTAGCAGACCTTGATAGCATGTTACAGCTGTCTCGCTTGTCTCGGAACTGGAACTCATATCGATTCTTCACCATTCTTCCTTCAATCTGAACCTTGCATTATCAGCTCTGAAACCCTTGAGTCTAATAGTATCTGTCACTGGATTCTGGCTCTCCTATAGAAGCGCCTGTTGATACGCGATAGTATGAGTATCACACTGTGAAGTGATGCTCAGTCCGCGAAGTTGCATCCTCTGAAAATGTCCCAACGGTGACGGTTTCGGGTACACCTCTGGTAGGATGGGAGGTTGTCTACATTCCACTGTCAGTTGTCTTGTGTTTTGTCTCGGGAGTGATGGCTGCCACCAAGGGCTCCACTATTACTCCGAGGAGCGGGAAGAAGAGTGGCCTACTGCGTCTTCTCTTGGCGGCTATCGGCACCTACGCCGTGGTCAGTGTTGTGACAATGAGCGCCGATTTAGCATTCTCTATTGGGAGCGGTCGACAGACCTCGAGTGCCAAGTTCTTGTCGAGCCAACGTAATAAACTCAAGTGGAATTTTCGGGTTTTAACTCCTTTTTATTGAATCCCTACCTGTTATAAACGGCCCTCCACTGTAGGTTCGGCATCACCATCACGAGCAGTATTCCGTAGCTGTCGTCCGAGCGCCCTCGGCGTTACTCCTGGCGCCAACCCTGTGCCCTCGCTGCTCGGTCATCGGAGAGTCGGTGCAGGGTACAAAATAACGATGCAAACTCCCGATGGTGACAAGGTGTTCGATTGCGATGAAGACACGTAGTGTGGGGAGATATGGTGGCCTCATTAGGGAAGTGCATGGCGTTTGCAGGTACATCCTCGATGCCGCTGAAGATGCAGGGATCTTCGACCTCCCCTACAGCTGTCGGGCGGGAGCATGTGCGGCCTGCGCTGGACAGGTCCTGGAGGGCTCTGTGGACCAAGAGGACCAGGCCTTCTTGGAACAAGGCCAGATGGTAGTTGGATGGGGGGTCGGTCCTTCGCTGTATTGATATGTCGTGGTCAGGATAAGGGGTACTGCCTTACTTGCGTGGCCTATCCTCAAAGTGACGTGACGATCCGCAGTAACTGTGAGAGCGAGGTGGCTTAGAGGTGGCTCGACTGGACCTGTACCTTTTCACCGAAGATAGAAGTGTCTGTTCTCCCCTTGTTGCGTTTACCAAGGTCAAGGGTTCTGCTAGTTGGGTTTCCCCCCTCTCTTTTATGTCGAGGCTTCCTCCGGTCAAGGCAGATGGCTGGATGAACTATCGGACATAGAGACTTGCAGAGTCATATCGAAGGTTCGAGCTCGGGGGTATCTCAATACTGCATCATATTTAATCTATATATTTTTCCCTTGAGCAGCACTCCTTTCACGAAGCTGATTAGCAGTATAGGAGTATGGCTGCGAACTTAGCAGCGCCGAAAAGAGCGGCCAAACTCTGGTATATGCACTGAAGCATGGCTCGATTAGTTCAGGTGAATAGAGTCTACATATTGCAGGGATATAACACCCTTATCTTCATAGTTAGCCTAGGCCTATATTCTGAACTGTATCGAGATTAAGTACTCGTGGTTCTACTACTTCCTGTTGAAGCCACAATGACAATATAGGAGCTCACCGAATTGTGGTAGGGAGTTGGTATTGTCAGTTTTGGCGTCAGGAAGTAGAGGGAGTACTCGGTAAAGAGCGCTATCGAGTGGAGGCATCTGACGGGTACTATAATACTAGGTATGGTATGGGCGGCCAGATGGAATAGGTTGTTAGGGAGGGCGTTAAGGCGGACCTGGACAAACTGCGTAATGTGGTGAACTCCCTGGCAAAAGGCTGGTCTCGGAGGAGGCGGAGGCAGCGGAGGAGGACTATCAGAAAGCGGGAGGGTTGACGGCAGGGGGGAGGAGTCGTAATGACCATTTTCATGTTGACTTGGATGCACTGTGCCATGTAGTTGTGTTATGGCCGCTTTTAGTAGGATGCTTTTATCAGAATTATTATCATCATCGTAGAACATGTCGGACTCGTACTACGACAGCGATCTGGTCTGTGAGTACTGTTCGACCAACTTCGACCTTCAGAATCATGTCCCGAAGGTGAGAGAAAATCTTCGCTGTGCGTAAAGATATGTTTTTATTTCAGCTTTTGGGGGTGTGTGGACACAATCTATGTGCTGAGTGCATTGCCTCGTTGGAAGGAGCTCGGGGATTCGGCCGCTTCATGTGCCCTTTCTGTCGGCAGCCGCATCGGCCCGGCGAAATCAGCGTGAATCCTGTGATAATGAATCTGCTTCGCTCCGCTGCTGCTGGAGTGCTTGGCGAAGTCCCCTCGGCCACTAATGGGGTTGGTGGTAGCACTTCAACTGAGGGAGGGTGTACCAACTTGACGGTTACTAGTGATGAGGACGATGATGACGGTGACACTCGTAGTGACACTTTTGATGAGCACGATAGCTGCAACTATAAGTGGTATGAAGAGCGGGGTAGGTGGTGGTTCTGTGACTACAATAAGGATCGTCGGTGGCACTACTTTGGGAAGTGGCTAGCTGATGATGATGGTGGTGAAGGATGGAAGGACTGGGCTGAATGGAAAAGTGAAATATGTCAATCAGAGAACAACGCTTTCTAGAAGCCCGCGTCGTGCATGATCAGAATTAGATGTTTACACGTCCTCCCTACTATTGCCCTTTCCCTGGTCACCCTCCCCCCAGGGCCGTTCAGTGTACAGTAGCATTCTTGTGTATAGGGGATATTGTCTATATTATTATTCTCATTATCATCATCACCGCTCACCGCGGAGATCTTGCATGAGCCGTAGGTGTTGTGTTGAGTCGTCACACATGCCTCTAAGATTCAGTATACCGATCTTCTGTCGGCTCTCTTTCAAGGGGAACATGTCTTCAACTACGCAGGTCGTAGCGGCTGCTCCCGACCGTACTGCAAATGTCTGTGTAGATTCGAAAGTCGCGGCGATCGTCTGTTGACAGCAAGGACCGCGGGCCCGATGTTGTCGCTGCTGGTGCTGCCACTAAGCGCTCCAAAGGGGAGGGGCGGAGGGTAGGTGAAGGGGCTCCATTCTCACAGAGGACGGACTCCCTTCAGTCTTCCCTTGGCGGGGCTTCTAACGGTGTGCGCAGTCCCAGGACCCTCGCAGCTGTGGCGGAGTCTGTGGCCATGGCACTGGCTGGCAACGTGGGCTGGAGGGGGAGGGGAGGTGATAGTCGCAGGCTCGTGGGATCACTCAGGTGCCGCCCCCAGCAGAACTGTTCAAGTTATCAGGGAAGCAGGAGGCCATGGCTAGACAGGCCGCGGCCCAGGCCCAGCTCAGGAGTGGGCATAGCAGAGCCTCCCGTAGAAGGTCCTCGGCGGCGGGGGGCACGGGGGACAGGGCCTCCACAGTGGTCGTACCGCATGTCCCGCGGCATGCAGCCAATGCTGCTATACAGAGACAACGAAGAGAGAGGGAGCTGGAGGGTAGGTCGGGGCCATGGGCTCGCTCATGGCGATCGCTTGTCATCTTCAGAAGCGGCCCAGGCCAGGCAGCTCAGACAGGCACTCCTGGTCGAGGGGCCACTCCACATGGGCGCGTCGCGGACCCTTCCAGCATCCAAGTCGTTGGTAGACGGCCCTAAGCCATCACCTGAGGGCAAAGAGCCCGGTCGCCACAGACCGTCCCTTGCCGCCACCTCTAGGGATACCCTTACCCAGGTTTACGGTGGGAGGGGTACTGGTCCACGTACGAGGCCGCATAACAGGGGGTGTAGTCGTAGCCTGCCACCTCCTAAGGGGAGGACCACGAGCTGGGCGAACAAGAGGCCTGATGGTCGGTGCACTCCCTTCAGCGAGGGCTGCGTGTCACCACGGGACGATCTGGAAATACCTCCTCTCCCGCCGCGGAAACGAAAGGAGTCTGTGGCCCCGACGACTGCCCAGCAGAGGAGGACGGGTCCAGACAAGGGTCGACCTCCTCTGCGGAAGAGGCTGCGACAGAAGGCACTGGATAAGGCCGCTAAGCTGGGCAGGGCGCTGGCTTCTAGTCGCAGTCGGACGGTACTGCAAGAAGAGGAGGGGACACAGAATGCTCCCCCAGGTGGGAGAATAGATGAGGATCCAGGGCCCAGCTACCACGAGCTAGGTAGCAGTAGTAATGGTGATAGTCAGGAGGAAGAGCTGTCACCGTTGATAACATCTATATCGCTTTCTACACCAGCTATGAAGGAAGAGGCTATTCGCCTGTCTAAGCGGACGGTGGGGACTAATACTTCCCCTCCTAGGAGGAAGAGGGCACGACGGCCCAGTCCACCAGCAGCAGCAGCAAGAGCTGGCTTCCAGCAGCAGGAGGAGGAGGCTCCTCTACTGTCAACAGCCCAGAGTGAGGTTAGTAACAGTTTGCGGGATGCCGCTAGGGCCCATGGTCTGACCATCACCAACTTGGGTGGACTACGGGACAATTCCCTCCAGCATAACTCCTCGACCTCTCCTCTGCATTGGAGCCAGGCCTCGGAGGAATTCCTGGGCACCTTCTGCAGCGCTCATGGCCTCACTCTGGTCAACATTGCTCACAGTTTCCCTTCACCAAGCTCCCCTGAGGTCCTCTCCTCCTCCCTGCCGGCCACCACTGTGCCGACTGTCTCTCCAGCAGCTGGTCTATGGCAACCTCAGGAGAGGCCCTTGCGGTACCCCAGACCTGAGCCCGATACTAGCCCTCAAGATATGGTCATAGTTGATCGGACCGCTGCCTCGGTTACTCCGGGGTCGCCAGAGGAGGTCTCGGACTATCTAGAGGGGTATCTAAAAGGAGGGGCCTCTTTAGCACAGCGGTTGCCGGTGCCTCCAGTTGGGAGGCCGTTGAATAGATCCCGGGTTCTACCCCAGCGGTATGCATTTGACGGCCCTGGTTATTCAAGGCCCGACTCTATCGGTCGCTCCCATACGCCCATCAGAGTGGATTCCAGTGGCTCTTCTGACGGTAGAGGTGGTCTCGACGAGGACGACATCGATGCGGACGATGGTATGAGGGTCGTTGACATAGTCACCAGTATGCGTAGCGCCATAGGTAGCGCCCGCTAGGGTTGAGGGGGTCGCTACTGTGGCCTGCAGGTACTCCTGGGGACCAGGCAGGAGTCCATGCATTGGGTCTGGCGGTGGGAGCTGCGGTACAAGCTAACCTTGACATACCATCTCTGCCTGAACCTACCATAATGTCTACTGGGGGGCCTAGTACAGCTGATAGCGGCGGCCTTATGCTGGTCGACTTCAACACTCAGAGGCGGCCTCCGATTCGAATCTCCAGCCCCTCGAACAGTCGTAGTGTTGGGCCGCGGCAGGTGGGCGTCTCCCTAATGTGGCGGTGTTGGAATTTCGTGGCGCGTGACTCAGGGCATAGGAGCATCTACCATGGGGGATACCTCTGACATCCTTCCCGAGTCGCTATACGACAGTATTGGGATCAGCCGTATCGATGAAGACCCCACCGAGGAACAGCGGCAGTCCCCCAGTGGTACTACCGCCTCCCACTGTGATGAGGAGCTCGAGGTAAGGGGCAGTGGGCAGTCTAGAGAAGATGGTGCCGTTCAGGATATCTGTACCAAGGCAGAGCCAGTGTACAGCAGCAGTGGTAGCAGCAGTAGCTTAGCGGGTACCGTAACACCGTCATCAATACCTAGTGGGACGGCACATCCCACCGCTGGCGAGGGGACATCGAAAGAGAGCATCCCTCTGCGGGGTGCTTGTACAGGAATCCAGGGATCTCACGTGGAGGAGCTGAGTCATAAGGCACGATTGGCGGTACCTCCTCTCTCTAGGATGTGTCACCACCGTGTCACCATGTCAGCTGGACCACATGGACCGAACGGACGAGCTCATTCGTTTGGCCGACTCTGCCGAGCTCCATAGGCGCCACCACAAAATGATCAACCAACAGGTATTCAGTCGATGCCTAGTCGTAGTGCAGAGGGTCTGTCAGGTCAGTGATGCTTTGGCGGTAGGGGAGCGTCACAGTGAGCGCCTGGCCCGGGCCCAGAAGCACTTGGCAGGGGGAGTGGCCCAGCCTGCCACTAGTATTAACCGTGCAGATGGTACTGTGCAGACGGAGAGGGAGGACAGCATGAGGGAGGCCTTGGGTCATGGGACAGTCCATGTCCCGATGGGAGTCCAAACGCTGACCGCCACGACGGAGCCTCCCACGGTGGGTCGGGCCTCGGTGTTGGTGGTCGTACTGTAGCCGCCGTATTGCAGGTACCTTCGGTGGAGGCTATTGGTCTCCAGACGGAGATAGGGAGGATGGAGATGGACATTGACTGTCTGGACCACTCACTGGAGGCTAGTACTGATATCGACCAGGCGGTGAGGCATCCTCCTCCTAACCCTCCCTCTGTTGAGCCATGTCTGCTACAGTTGCGTGGAGCCTTCGTCCAGGACTCTCGCCATGGTTTCTCTTACCCCATGTGGACCCAGACGGAGGGGCCAAGTCGAGGCGTGGACCAAGTAGTAGTTACCCTGCTGTCGTCTGTAAAAAACCCTGTAGTGTTTAGGGTGTACAGCCGAGTTTGTCCTCGAATGGAGGTCGATCTAATGCAGCTCGGTACAGCAGAGGTGCGTCGGGTGTGGAGGTGGAGCTCTCTCACTCCTGTGCTGCTATAGGCTCCTCTAGGGCTCGGTCTGGTAGTAACCGCTCTAGCCCTACCTACTCTATGGTGGGCTTCGAGGATGAGGAGGCCACCACTTCCGAGGTCTCTGTGGTCCAGCCCGGCTCCATTGTGGCCTCGTCGATCCAGTCGGACATATCCCTCCCTTTCACTTCACCGTTCAGTGACTGGCGGTCAGCGTCATCGACTGGCAGAGGTCCGGGGTCGGCAGATCCAGAGGAGGCCAGCATTCTTACGGCGAGCGCTGCTTTGGAGGGCCATCTGAATCTCACCTACAGGAACCTCAGAAATGAACGATCGACTCACGGAGGGGAGGCCAACGATGCTGTAAGAATGATGTGGAAGTTCGAGCTGGAGTGGTATTGATTAGGGCCTCCGGTCTAGCCATACATCGTTATATGAGTCGAGGTTGAGCAACAGCCCGTCCTCTAGCATGTCGATCCTCACTGAGTTCACTGTTGATGGTGGTAACAACGTGAGTGTAGAGGAGGTCAGTGGAGCCTTGGCCCGGAGGAGGAGGAAGGCCGAGGCGGACGTCGAGGAGCGCATCAGGAGCAGTAGGGAGAAGATGGCTGCTGGCAAGGAAAGGGACATCGCCTCTCCGCAGAAGAGGCGGCGGGAGCATCGCAGGGTTAGTGATGTGGCCTTTTCGGGTGGGTTGGTCAGGTGGGGTCTGTCATCAGGCTGTGGAGGAGAGGAAGAGGAGACGTCGGGAGGCTAAGGACTCCTTCAAGACCTCCTTGGAGAGATTCAGTGAAGGGCTGATGGACTCCCGAGGGTCCAGTGGGTCTAGTACGGACTCCCTCTCGATCATCATCAGAGGTCGGCGGTCCGCGTGGTCGGTCTTTGGTATCGTCTTGGTATAGATGCGGAACGCCGGCTTCTAGCGCAGCAGCAACGGTTGAAGTCGAGAAGTGAGGCTGTTGCTAAGGACACGAGGGTGACTGAGGATGCCCTACGGGATAATGCAGCGAAGCTGAGGAAGGTAGAGTACCTAAAGGAGTTGAAGAAGGAGGTATGCAGATGTTGGTTTCCAAGTGGGGACTTGCTTGGCAGATCTCTGAGGCCAAGAGGGAGGGGCCGCCGTTCGAGATCACTCAAGCTGTTGAGGATGCTGAATTGAGTCCCACTGGTCCCACGACACCAGCGTGAGCTACTAGCCCTGGTGTACGGCAAGAGCCCTTGAGTGAATCCTCTAGGGTATCCGAAGGGCCGTCGAGGGAGGACGCTGAAGTGGTGGCGGAAAGTGTCGTTGAAGATCGTAAGGAGGCGATCGAGGAGCCACCCGTCCACGAGGCAAGTCCACCTGCGGTCTCGGGAGCCTCTGGTATTCGGCAGCGCTCACAGGTGGTTGAGGGAGCGGCTGAGGAGGAGGAGGATGAGGCGGCCTTGGTAGGGAGCGACGAGGAGAGGAAGGTGAGTATTGTCTTGGAACCTTTGGGGATAAATTCAATTCAGTCGACGGCCTCGATCACCCTACAACGGATCCATGCGGTAGAGGCTCAGAACGAGGAGGACAGCCAGAGCAAGCTCGAACGTAAGGCTCTCTCATAATAGTTATACGTACTCCTCTTGATTGTAGTAGTGGAGACCCTGGCCCGCCTCGAGCCGTCCTCTCCTGCTGTGACCCCCGGTAGCATCGTAGTTGTCGCTCCCGAGGGAGATAAGGATTTCGGCAGCAGCCGTGAAGTGGTACAGCATCTATCGAAAGGTCCACCATCACTTGCCTCCCACAGGAGCTCTCCCGTGACACTTCGGACTCGGCAGTGCTAATCGCGGACCCAGTGGAGGCGGCCAGAGCGGTCGCAGAGGCCAAGGTCCCGTCTGTCTGGAAGGTGGTACTTCTCTTGAGCTGGTACCTCGAGAGTGCCTTTATAGGAAGTCAGCAGTAGTGCTAGTGGGAGCAGCCAACGCCGATATGAGTCGTCTTCGGAGCAAATCCTCGAGGTAGCCCGCTTTGATGCCAAGCCCCCAGTGGTGTCCAAGAAGAGTGCCGAGGACCTCGAGATCGACAAGATGGAGGTAGGGGAGAGCTAGTGTGTCCCTGTGGGCATAGTCGGGTAGGTGGTTGAGGAGGCCCCTGTCCAGAGCCCAGAGTTAGTCCCTCTATTGCCGAGACCATCGACTAGCAGCAGCAGCAGTAGGGGTTCACCTGTCCTTCGGGTTGAGGGGGAACCAAGAGCGGGTAGTAGGGTATTCCTGTATCGGAATACATGGTCAGCCTCTCAGAATCCGTCACCCCTATTCCCAGCAGTGACGCTCTACTAGGTTGGGCTAGGGCCTTGCCCAAGACTGAGCTGGACCAGTGTATTGACGACATTGCTGAACATGTTCGCCCGTTGGCCGTCGATTGATCTAATGGGATGGCACTTACCTCAGGTGCTGGAGTCTCTGCTGGACGACAGAGCCCTTGAGAGGAGGGTCCTCAGTGTATTGGGACGCGATGGCCCTTCACTGGAGGACGGCTATCCTCATGATGCGGATAGCAGGAAGCTGCATCGACACCGCCTAGCTACGTCCAAGGCCGCCGTTGATACTGTAGTCAAGGAGGCACAGGCTAGGTGAGCTCTGCAGCCTTGAATGATGGGCTAGGGGACCACGGCTATTATAGGCTTACCGATAGGGAAGAATTGGACTCAACAGCTCTTAAAGGAGGGAATGCTGATGCTTCGGCGCTAGCTGAGATGCAATACAAGGTGACTGAGAGTAGAGGAGAAGTTGGTATGGGCAGAATGCGAATCCTCAGGTGCCGGCCGATTCCGGATACACCCACAGGCTTCTATGGGAATCTTGCCTCGAGCTAGCTCGGCAGCCCTCGGATGCCCAACGGACGTGCGCTCTCTGGAGCAAACGCTTCCCCGGCACGAAGTCTCCGTTGACGCACTTCGTGGCTGTTGTGAACTCGTGGTCTTCAATTCAGCAACAATTAAACCAGATACTGGAGATAAACTCCGACTTGCGCATGCGTGCAGATGCTGGTTTGCATCACTCCGAGGTGCAACAAGCAGAGGAGCGGCGAGTTGACGGCCTTGCAATGGGCGCTGTCTCCTGTCTTGCCGTTACCGGTGTCACCGCCCTCTACGACTGGAGTCAGCGGAAAAGAATACGGTCTAGGATATTGGTGGACGTGGATGAGGAAGTGTTTGCTGCGCTGGTCGAAGACTTCGCTCTAGAGCTTAGAGATGAGTATGAGGAGGGCGGGGGATGAATGCACGCTTGTCATAATGTTCTCCGAGGTTGACCGCTTGGGTTATGAGGGAGTTGGGCACCAATGAAAATCTCGTCATTATGGAAGATGGGCTAAGCATCTAACCTCGCATAATAAAGAATGATGCTGGGAGCAACATAGACTTTATTTGATATCGTGTCGAGGAAGAGCAGATTACACGATAGAGACCGTGAATCAGGGAGGCGAAAGGATGTGAACATCCAACAAGAAAATAAACATTAGCGCTCGCTGCAAATCCTAGCCAGCTCAAGATTGTGATCAGACTTGCTTCCAGAGCAGAGCTAGCAAGTCTTCCCGAGGTATTCATCTCGTGCAGCAGCAAATTCCTGACACTCCCATCCGGTTAATTATTCCATTCAGGAATAATTCCCTGAACATGAACCTCGCTGAAAGGATCTCAGCATGAGCGTCTTTAAACATAGGAGACATAAATTACTCGATGCTGAATCAATTGATCGGTTTTCCCGTCTCGGGCATAACTATCGTAGCTCAGTGTTTGACCATCTGACTTTCTGCACTACGACAATGAATCGGGTAAGCTGCTCGGGACCATCTCAATACTAACAAACACAAGTCTCAAGGATTCTGTGAATCTCGCACGTAGTATCAATATCAATGATGTACCAATGTTCTGGCAGTACTCCGAAACTATAGAGTTCCTAGTAAAGGAAGACGTTGCAATAATGCAGATGATTGTATATAAACAGCAATGATCTCATCATCAGCACCGACACAACATGAGCGAGTACGAAAAGCCGCTGGCTAGAGTGACGACGGGGTAATCCGGAGGCCTTTAACGATGGATAAACGTGCTGTCATCTCGGACTGGGCCAATAGCTGATCGCCACAGCCGGAAATGTAACCAAGCGGGATGGGCTGGGCTCCCACGAACAGTCCTCGAGAATTGAATACGTGCATCATCCGTTCCTCAGGCAGAAGGAGTACAATATCACCAGCAGAGGTCTCCTGTATGGACGTGCAGGCCTTGTAGTCGCCGCTGATAGGCCGTGTTACCGACCTCCATTTACCAGTAGAAGGAGAGCCCACGTAGAGCTTACCATCGAAGGACGACACCAGAGCGAAGTCTCCATCACCCCTAGCAGTGATGGCTGCGATGGACGCTACCTCTACTGGCAAGCTTTGAAGCACAGAGTCACCAGTCGCACAGGAGTACAACTGATTATCGTCAAGAAGGACGAAGACCTCATCCCCTCTAACAGTGACGTCCTTGATCTCCTTGTCTTTGACGTATTTACTGGCCACAGCGCACTTCAATGGTGACGACGATACGACAGGACCAGATACTTCACGGAGTGAATGAAAGTCCGCCAGCACAGCTTTGCCATTATTATTACTGCATCCCATCTTACGGGGAGTGTACCATACGAAATGCTCAGGGAACCTCAAGGCCTCCTTGCCAGCATAAGTGATCTCAAAAGGGCCACTAGCTTCACCATTGGTGACCATCTTCAGTCTACGCTCATGAACATTCCTCTCGTTAAACGATGGGTCATACTTCAAGGACACCTCAGCGCTGGTCTCGGCTATTGCAAACAACCAAGCGGCCATTATCACGACACTACCGAACCGGAACAACATGTAGGGTACCCTCACCTTCTCCCGGTGACTCGCATCAGTCGCAGCCTGAATAGCCGCCCTCTCCTGGTCCAGCAAGGCCTTAGACTTCAATTCGAACTGCCTCAACTGCGACTCTACGGACTTGGTAGTTTCCTTGTAGTCATAAATACCCGCATCTCCAGTGGGGGAATCCCACTTGATCTCGCCGGTTTCCACATTTAGGTAGTACGGGAGGTTCTCCCCAGCCTCAGTCTTATAGCCCAGCCTGATCCACCCCTCAGTGGGGTTGAATGGAGTTCCCGGCGTAGCATCGCCCTTCCCTCGTTCCTCGTCCAACAACTGCGCCAACCTCTTCCTATCCTTCTCGAATCTACCCTTCAGCTTAGTCAGCTCTTTCTTCTCCTGAAAAACAACAGCTACAATCATTTGGCCAGCCCAGACCTACCGAGTCCGATAAAAGGTGCTCTTCCTTAGCCCAATGCCTGAACATTTTCTGCATGTCCTTCTCAGCCTTCTTACAGGCGTATTTGAGGTCCTTCGAAATGTCAGGATGATATTCCCCAGTCTTAGCTCCGTCCTGTTGCCCAGTAGGCTTATGAACTCCCCAGTCATTGATGGGCCCCTCCTCGGTGAAACCAGGCAACCCCGAGGAGTTGATAATCCTACGTTGGAGTATTCTACCGTTGCTGGTTGGGTTAAGTACTACTTTGGTTCAGCAACTGGCTCATGGACTTCCTTTATAGTCTCCAGTCCAAAGCCGAGTACATCTATACACCATACCGTAGAGAACTTCACAGGAAGACCATTCTTGTCAGCCACTGTCAAGTACCTGCCGACACCATTTGAAGACTAGCGTGTTGAAAAAAGTGTCTTACACAAAGAACATCTCGTAGAGGAGGCCCATGATATGCGCCGACAGAGCAAAGATGAGGGCCGGTCGCTCGTTGACTTGAGGCAACTGGACGAGGCAAGAGTATAGTGGATGGCAAGAGCTGGGATACTACCTCGACGTTGAAGCTGTTACCCCACTCGTACTCACAAAGGACTGCGGCACAATAGAGGAAAGGCGGTACGGCTGTGAGGAACGCCTAAGAAGAGAGAGTCTACGATTTACGGTATGATATTGGTCCCACCATAATGCAGAATTCTGTGAAGTTGACGGTAAGGTTCATCTTAGCATTGAGTAGAGCGGCCACCGAACATAACGTTACTATAACGTAAGCTGCAAGTGGATTCTCCCAGAAGTAGCCCCAGTACAACAGCGCGAAGTATGCCAGAGCGTACAGGAATTGTAGAGTACCTTTTGGTATAGTAAAAGGCAGCCCCTTACTGCTGCTATCACTACTACCCATACACATACACACCCTAGCATAAGCCTCATGGCCCTGCCATTTCCTATGCAGTTGGTTGAATAACGCAAAGTGCTGCTTGAACGTATCCCATTCGGTGGTCAGATCCCTTATTTCCTACAGCGACCATATTAAGGTGCGGCTCATTGATAGTTCGAAAGTATGTTGAGAGGACAGCCCTAGTACATTCTTCCCTTTCACTTCCTTATGCTCGAGACCGGGAATTTTAAGGTTGCTCTCTCTGGCATACTCCGTTACCACAGGGACACGAAACCAGCCGCCAACACCAGAACCTGAACTGTACCGTATACGAGGCGATTGACTGGAGTCGTACTAACCTTCGAAGTCTTCCAGTCTGGCTGAGCCCTCAGAGATCTCCATGGAGCTGGCCACGGGCAACCGCAACCATTGGGTTAGTGACCTCACTGAATAGGTCTGGGCCGAAATGGAGGCATGCAGAGCCAGCCAGATAGAAAGGAAGAAGTAGAAAAATGCAGCACCTGATAATAAGCGATTCGCAGAGTAAGAGCCTGCCAAAAGACTACTTACCTAACGTGATTGACCAAGGCCAGAAGAGCCAGTTTGGAGCCAGAAGAGGCGTTCTTCCCTTGTAGAACATCTCCGTACAGAAGCCAACGAGCAAAGTACTCACAAGCTGACAGTGACTGTGGTAACATAGGGAATCGGGTGGGATGGTCATTACCATATAGCAGTCCATTTTGCCTATTGTCAGCCCAAAGAGGTCTCTAAGATCCTCTCGGTACAGCACCACTGCCATAACTCGCTGCTTCTGGTGCTGATAGAGATTCTTCTGCCGCATGGTCCGATTGAAGTTGTACACTTCTCGATTGTAGCTGAACCATTCAACTCCACCGTCGCTAACAGCCTCAGCCATATTGATATTGCTCTAGTGTTGGTGGTAGTAGATGAGGAGTAGAAGTAGTTGACTGTATTGGAAATGGGCAAGGCCAACAGCAACTACTACTATACTCAATAAGGACCGACTTCCCTTACAATATCACAACGTCTTCACCATAAACCTCACCGAGTGAAATAAGCCACAGTATTACTACTACCTCAACGGGCCGAACCACCACTACTGTAGCTCTCACCGAGGGGCTACACCCGCCGTTAAAAACAGAAGTCAACCTCAGTTGCGACCTGCCTTACCACGATGCGTGACGTTAATAGCTCTATTCACAATCCCATCTGCTACACGTCTAGTGCGAACCAACCGTCACTAAACAGGTGTAATTACGACTGAAGCCTTTGTGACTACGCGAACCTTCAGCGAAAAAAAAAACGCAGCGGAGCGATGCAACAACCCGGTGCCCACTGCTTCAACACGTAACAATGCCGCTGACGTTATCAGATGAGGCCTCTACTCCAGAGAAGTGCGCAGATACATGATCCCATAAGTTTAAAGTCTTTTGAATAGTCGTGGAAACAGAACATATGTAACATGGCGAAGAGCATATCTGTTATACAAAGGGAGTCGGCTCGAGGACTTAGTCTTAGTAAGTGCTGGAGGAGCAAGATCGGAGGGCGTCGAGATAAGCATACTTTGATGACGGTGAAGATAGAGCGGTGAAAGTCTTAAAGGGGCAGCCACAGCCAGAGTCTCATGCTGGGAATAGCGACTTCGCGTATAAGTCGCTGTTGGGCCTTAGTTCAGCAGATGATATCCTGTCTGTGTTGTAGACGTTTGGTAACCACATCTCTCCAGAAGGTTGTTCGCGATTGTCTATACAGCTACTCGTGTCTGATATCCCCAGTGCAAGCCGTGTCACCATTGAAGTGATGTGACTATTCTTATGTTACCACACTATGACATTCTTTCATAATTGACTCAACAACATGTGGACATGAAGATCAATATCGCAACATGACGTTATACACCACTGAAGAGAGCATCACTATAGTCATGATAGCCATCATCATCATCATCACGCATTATTCCCTACTTATCCAACTCGCACACTGATTCATAGGTTGGTATCATGTATCTAATTCTCGATATCATCACATGTACCACACAGCTTAGTAGTGGTACTTGATATTAATAAAGGCATCCTCCCCACCGTGGACCTCGAAGATCTCCAGAGTCTCCTCCACTAGATCTCCCAACACTAAACGCTTCCTCTGACCTGATGCACAAGTTCTTGAGAACGACCATTCGAACCTACCGTATTCCATCTTATCTTTCGAATAAATATTGGAGTTCTTGAAAATGTTGAAGATGGGCAAGATCTGCCTATAATAAGGTACCAACGCCTCCCCTATCATCTCAGCCGATAAGACTAACGTCTGGAGCATCTACACCACCAAGGCTGATAACTGTGCAGCTGATACGGAGCACCTTCAGAGTCGTGGCGATGACCTCGGGATCTCGTGAATTGAGGGCGGTCTTGATCGGTATGATGAGCTGTGGTATGACTGGTAGTATCTTACCACCACCTCTCTCGAGCAAGTCATATACACCTTCCACTGCTAGGAATCTATGTGTTGCCTTATAACTGCTATCACACAGTATGCACTACTTACCGATACGGCTCCTCCTTCTCACGAATACCGTCAAAAAATATAGGTAGGTAGTGGTGATAATCCAACTTGTCGATATCAACCTTCCATGCTATCTTATTCCATGTCCCAGCGTGTGATATCTAAACATACCACTCCTCGACCAAATCACCATCAAACGAAGGATCATTCCAACACAGTGACCCTCCACATCCCTATTGCATTCTCCTAAGGGGCACTCTACTCGATTCCGCGAGCACCTGTATAGGTAGATCTCCTCGATCATAGAACTTCCTAAACTCCGTAGGTTTGATTGGCTTCCGACTATACGCCCCTGCCTTGGGTGGTGGTATGCAATGAGACCTCCCAGCACTCTTGTCCACTGCCTGAGTTTAACGTCATGCGCCGCCGCCGACTTTCATGCAGCTCTCCTTCTACTCACCTGCGGTCTCGTCCTCGCTAGTCCAAGAGTGTTCATGAGGTTTTTCTTAGGCTTGTAATCTGGTGGGAAGTTCCCGAAAGGCGAATCGGATCCTCGAGGAATAAGCCCGGCCATTTTCTGCTTATGTCTGTCCAACAACAACAAACATGTCGTTACTACTACCAGTTGCACTACTACTAC